TGATCTCAAATTTAAGCGATGATGCGGACGCGGGCGTGACAGATACTGCCTACACTTGATGGCCGTGCCATCTTTCATTTCGCAGAAATCTCCCACAAAAATGTTGCTCAGTCAATTGCAAAACATTACGGCACTTTAAGCAGCCGGTGAGTGGCACGCAGAACACAACAAAACATTGATTGAATTGCAGAACACACAAAACTTAGCGGAAAGGTTGCCTTTGAAAAGCACCTTAACACAACGATACCCGAACCAGAAGCATTCCCTGTGCCCCGTCATGGCAGCCGGAAGTGGCCGAATACGCATGTATACGTACAACATACATGAAACTTCTTGTGTCTCGCCTGATTTATGGGTGGAGAGAAAGGAGGGGAGGGGTCCAAGGCTCAGGCAAACACGCCTTAGTGAATCGTGCGCTAGCTTTCAGTGATTTCCAGATTTAATTATGCACTTAGTGAAAAAGAAAAAAAGAAGACATAAATTGTGCATAAAAGGGCTTGTCAAAACTATAATGTAGTCCTGTAAAAAAAAAAAAAAAAAAGGCATAGGCGTAGTTTTGTGGCAAGGTGTTGGCTTCACATGCAGTGGGCCCAGGATCGAATCCTGGGGGTGGCGGGCGTTTGCATTTGGCAATATCGCACCTACTCCAAATTTGAAGATAATCGCGAAAAAATAGGGGATGGGTTCATGGGAGGTCATCAATTTTACATATATATGTACTGTCCATATTTTTTCCGATGTTTCAGATTTTGGTGGTGCGGAATGGGCAGATGTACGGTATTCTAAGGTATGTATATTTTACAGCTTGTATCTCTAAAAAAGTAAATGCGGAGCACAAGTTTGGTTGCTTCTTTTGCAGGTGTTGTGGTGACGTCAGAATGACGCCAAGTTCTGATTGGCTCTGACTGAAGAATAGGGGGTAGACCTCAAGGGAGCTTGCTTTGAGGTCTACCCACTATCCTTCAATCAGAGCCAATCAGAGCTCGTCGTTCTGACGTCACCAAAACTCCTGCAAAAAAAAGCAGACGAACTTGCGCCCTGTATACGTTGTAGACAAAATGTTGCAGGACGACAGGGCGACAAAACCCCCTACTAAATTGACCCCATAAGTGTGATGTCACTGCTCCAAACAAACCGTTGCAAGGGGCATTGCAGAGCCATACATAAAAAGAGTTTGGCCATTCGTTGGGAACTATAGGACGCAAATGGGAGGCGCCATTGGCCGAAAGCAGGCTGGGCGTTTTCCAGGGCGTCTACACAAATTCGAATGTGGCCAACCAGAAGCTGCAAATAATACCCTGGCGGTGGTCACAAGAAACTAAATTAATAAGTGCGTCGGAGTAACTCTCGTGGTTTCAATCATGGTCATCCAAATTCATGTCATAAGAGCGCGACTAGCGATACGACCGACATAATCCGTAAACCAGGTGCCGAGGGTCCAGAATCTGCCGTCCGAGCAGCCACACTCTGTCTGAGCAAAACAGAGTTTGAGTGGCACATTCGTTTCTTACATCTTCCTGCATGGTCATAACCTAAACATTATGTGCACCTATTTTCAACCACGAAGGGTTACTACATTTAACTCTTATGTGCTTATTAAAACCCTATACCTATGATTAAAACAGTTTCTCGCTACCACTGCTAGGGGATTCTTTTCGGCTTCTGGATGGCCAAAGAGCATGCCGAACTCTCTTTCTGCGCCTGGTGCACGCCCTGGCTCTGCCTGCGCCTCCCATTCACCGAACTCTGTGCACACGGCTCTGGGGCATTGCTATGGACGAATATATGGGACAGGATTTCGCTCAAAAAGAACCATAGTTCAAAATATGAACATGGAATTTAAAAGCCCTAAAAGAATAGATAAAGGAAGCCTAGATTTCGCACTCACTACGACAGAAGCTAAGCGAGAATGGGCCGTTTTTTTTATATCTGCAACAAAAATTTCCAGTCCTCAAGACGTCTCGAGACTCCTGCTTCAGACGATGAATCATGGTGAACGCATGGGGAATGACTGAAGTATGCCGTCCGCAACAGTTTGAATTACTTGCATAATGATGCGATTTTGATATTGCATTTATTGGGAACGTGGCAGGTCTAAGAAAACATATCAGGTTTATAGGAACAAATTGTATTTGCGCGCGATACGGGATATTGTCTGACAAAAATCACCACACGTATGGCGACCTGCAAGAGAAGCATCGGTGTAGAACACAATATCAGAGCAGCGTCAGCCCCTCTTTTTGATTTTGCAGTTGACGTGCATTGTAATGAAGGAGCAATTATGTTGACTCCAACATGACCGGTTGGAGACCCCAAACTTCATTCTTCAGGTTTGCAATATGGTGTGTGCTTCGCACCTGCTAGTAATCGTCACATTGAGGGAAACAATCGTGCTCATTCTTGTTTTCCGTAACACCACAAACAGCGATGGATCTAGATAATAACGTCGCGTAAGTTATATACATCTGTTACAAACAGTTTGTTTGATCACACAAATGTGCACTGAAGCAACATCTGTGCCATTAGAACTCCTTGAAATGTGTGCTCGTCTGCACTTTGACGTTGATACACTTCACCACATCGTCGTCGTACGTGATTCTGCTTCACGGTGTTTCCACCTTCTCAAATATTGCGGAAGCAAGCTCAATGGGAAGGCATTCACATGCTCGCGCACCTCAAGCGACGATCAAAGCTGTGCACGGGCACTCTTCGCTTCCAAAAACACACAGGAAGTTGACCCCGAGAATAGGAGTTCCGTCATTCGCCACCAACACCAACTTAATTTAATGCGGTCGCACACTAGCTCAGGAAGAGCCACTGAACCCGCGAAGCCATAGTGTCATCTGCTAGCAAGGCAAAACCGGCAGTTAAACTTTATTATGGGATTTATCGTCGCTCTATGGTACCGAGACAGAAAAAAATGAGTAGATGTTGAGAAGATGCAATGCTTTCAAGAAGAATTATTTACTTTTTTATCAGACAATTTTTAATCTCACATGGAGCCCCCATGCATTTGTTCATAACGGCCCTAGCAATTAACGGTTTGTTTGGAGCACAGCGCACCATGCTGTGACGTCATTACTTACAAGGTCAATGGTGTGACTCCAGGTTGAACGTGTCTGCAGGCAGTTTTTGTATGACGTACTAACATTGCAACCGTGGCTTTGGTGTGCCGATTTCTGATAAGGTAAAAGAGAGGGTGGCTGGTTGACATTTATAAACCACTGGTTTGATGTTAATGCAGTTAATGCAAACATGCAGTGAGCTGGGCAAGAATAACAATAATAACCCCTGGAGAAGGGGAACAACAGGCAAACACAAATCTCCAAACGCGACTCAAATAAATCTGCCTGGTCCTGGTAAACTAGGGACCTCTCCATTTCCAAGTGGAGCGCTCTACCAACTGAGCTAACCAGGAGTTAGATGTCAGTAGAGCAAACAGGTTTTTAACAGCTGCCACAAGTTCAACACCAGCAAGGGTGAAGAACCTGCATTTTAAGGTTATGATCTTAAAGGGGTACGAAAACGAAAATTGAAATATTCAAATTTCGTTCGGAAATGAGTCAAGCATGACGGATAATAACCGCAAATGATAATCGCCAGTTTGTATTTTGAACGACTGGCTATATTTTTCGTTCCAAACGGTGCACTCGAGCAAGCGCTCGAAGAGAAGCGAACGGAGAATGCGATGCGTCATGGGATATCCGGCGCAAACAAAAACAGAAAAAAGAAAAAGATTCCCCACATTTGTGACGTAGCAAGGCTGGCATGGTTATGAGTTTTGCCGTTGTGGTGGTGTCAATAGCGTCAACGGGGTACAACCGAGTTGTTCGAAGTACACGTGGGGTGACGAGCGTGTGGCTGGCCCAAGGAGCACGTAGCTTCCACAGCATTGTCAGCTTAGGGGTGAACAGGGTGGGAAAAGCAACTTTTGTCAAAATTTTGAGCGATGGGCTAATCTTCTAAGGGGAGAATGGCTGTGTCCGGGTACACAAACAAGGGTTTGGTACAATGCGCGATTTGTGAGTTGAGGAAAGCTATCAAGGAAAATATTGAATTCCAAAGGGCAGCGCTGCTCCGATGGAACTTGGTACGTCATGTCTACGTAGCAAGTTCCCCAACGTTGCTAGATTACCTCCAGAGGTGGCACGTCCCCATGTGACCAGGACAGCTGGTACACGTGGTCCCCCGGCCGTACGTCGCCTGTCTGCCTTCCTTCCTCTCCTCCTCTCCCCTCCCACCCGTTACTAAGCCCTGTGTTTGGAGATTTGTGTATGACCCTGTATGACCCTTGTCCCCTTTGTTCACATTCTCCAGGGATGATTATTGTCACCCGACAAAAAAGTTTCTAAAGCTTTTTTTTTTTTTTTTTTTTTTGTTATGGAGCTGCGTTTGAGTGGCAGAGCGAGCGCGAATATTCCTCCGAGTAAAGACACAACTTCGTCCATAATTTTGTTGTTATGAGCTATCTGACGCGTGCTTGAAGCGTGTATTCTGAAGATTCGCACGATACCCTCAATCGGCAAAGAAAAGAAACTCGCGACGTTCGAGGCTGTGAACGCTCGAAAAGCACCAGCGTATATGACGTAAACAAACACAAAGCACGAACGTTTCTGCCGCCTTGAAGCCAGACTATGACGACGCTTCTCGGGCCATGGGCCTTTTCTTGAGCTTGCTGGTTTACCATCGCGACACGCGACTAGTGTCACAGCCAAGAATAACACAACATGAAAAATGAGCCCACCAACCGCCGACGCCATAGAATGGTCTATAAACTGTGCTAGGTTAGGCTAGGTGACGCTAACTACCGCCCTACACAGAAGTATGTTTTTAACGTTGATTTTTCTGTTCATTCTTCTACATTCAGATTGTTCACGTCAGATCAAAGATCAAACAGATGAAGCACTCAATTTTTCGGTTCTACTATGGTATCATAACTATGGTGCCTGGAATGCATTTTCCGAAAAAGTGTCCTCGATTTCCGCTAGATGACGTCACATAAATAGCATGGTTTCGCCGGTTTCGCTAGCTGCGATCCTCACGGTGTCACACAGTCGCCGTGGTGGGCTGGTAGACACCTATTTTGCTGCAGGCTGCTCCAGGGTCGCCCTCCGGCTTGACAGTGCACGGAAATTGGTGCAGCCAGGAGTTTGTACAATTTGCCGGACCACCAGGATCGCGTCATCCGCCATCCGCCATCTTGATTTTAGTACCGCCACCAAACATCAGGGGATTGAATTGGCGCTGCGGACGCCCATTTCGTCCGACAACGCCTGTTCCAGGAGATCCGCCGATCCGCTGTCCCTGTTTTGATGGTGTCACGCATCGGTGGCGGCCGCGGGGCTCGATGACGGCTTTCGGACGGGCGATGACGGCAGCGGCCAGCGACCACACGCCTCATTAGCATCGTCCGTAGTTCGACGTTCGGTAGCGGTAGTTCGCGTTCGTGCCGTCAACAGGCTCAACCAGAGCACTGGAAGGTGGCAGACAGCCACCATGACGAGCGCGTGGAAGGAAGCCCTGCGGTCGCGCATCTACTGCGCCGCCCGCGACGGGCTGGCCCTGACCCTGTACGCCCTGCTCAACAACGCACCCAAGGCGGACTTCCCGGAGTACCTGAACGCCCTGGTCTCGGACCGCGAGCAGCGCTGCAGCCCGCTGCTCATCGCTGCCCGTAACGGCCACATCAAGGTAGTCCGCATGCTGCTGAACCTGGCCGAGGCGCCCGTGCAGCTCGAACAGGAGGGCACTGTCCAGTTCGACGGCTACGTTATCGAGGGCGCCACCCCGCTGTGGTGCGCGGCCGGGGCCGGCTATTTGGACATCGTACAGCTGCTCGTGCTGCGCGGCGCAGACGTAAACCACCCGACGCGCACACTGTCCACGCCGCTCCGTGCGGCCTGCTTCGACGGCCGCTTGGACATTGTCCGCTTCCTGGTCGAGCACGGCGCCGACGTGCACCTGAGCAACAAGTACAACAACACGTGCCTGATGATCGCCGCTTACAAGGGCCACTTGGACGTGGTGCGGTTCTTGGTGGACTGCGGCGCCGACCCGAACGTCCAGGCCCACTGCGGCGCCACGGCGCTCCAGTTCGCCGCCGAACACGGGCATCTAGGCATCGTGCGAGAACTGCTGGCCGCCGACGCTCGCGTGCTGGCCAACGGGATTGGCATGACGCCGCTGCTGGCGGCCGCCGAGCGGACGCGTGCCGACGTGGTCCGATTCCTGGTGGAGCAGCCCTGGTGCGGCCGCCAGGACAAGGTCGACGCGCTCGAGCTGCTGGGCGCCTCGTACGCCAACGACAAGGACCACTACAGCCTGGAGCGGGCGTACCACTTCCTCGAGCTGGCCATGATCGAGCGCAGCCGGGAGCCCCCGCTGCCCAAGAAGCCCGGACCGGCGCTGGCGGCATACGACTCCCGCGTCGAGTGCACCTCGCTCCAAGACCTCCGCGCGATCAGAGACGACGCGCACGCGCTGCACATGGAGTCGCTGGTGATCCGCGAGCGCATCTTGGGGCCCCACAACCCGGAGCTGCCGCACCCTGTGGTGTACCGCGGGGCTGTGTTCGCGGACTCGGCGTCCTTCGACCGCTGCCTGCTGCTCTGGCTCCACGCGCTGCGGCTCCGAGCGGCGGCCAGGCTGCCACTGCGCAAGGACCTGCTGCGCTTCGCCCAGCTATTCGGGCAGATGCTGCACGTGGGAGTGGAGGTGCCGCCGGCGGCCATGGCTCAGACGCTATCGGCCTGCCTGCGGGAGCTGGAGGCCGGGCCGCAGGAGGACCAGGACGCGAACCTCCTCACCTGCCTCTACCTCCTGGTCGAACTGGGCAGGCTGCCTCCTGCAGAGGACGGACACGACCTGATGCGGCTCGTCTACCGCCTAGTCCGGCTTAACAGGTGACCGCTTGGCTAGGGCGGGCTGCGAAGCTTTGGCATGTGAGGGTTGAACTGTGTTTTGCTGGTTTCTTGGGCTTTTCTTTGTACCGTCTGGGCCGTCTGTTTGCACGTACCGCACAGCTCTACTAGTCGGCGCTGGAATTAGCATTGACCTTGCTGATGCAGTACTGCATTGGTGCTAAGTGACATTCAAGTCTGTGCTTCATCAGCATTGTTCCTAGTATTGATTTAGTGTTGTGGTCAAAGTCCACCCTTGACGCATGACGTTGTTGTATGCATGCCGGTTCTAGCAGCTTGCTGGTCCTCTTCATTTTTGTCAGTCCAAAGCATTCGGAACATTTCATACACACGAAGTAAAGAACATACACACCGTCGGAATAACAACTGACTTTTCTTTTCCCTCCTCTTCTACTACGAACCCCACATGAGTAAATTATTCTCTTTTCTTCTTTTTCTTTCTTACTTCACCGAATATTCAACCCCAAGGGAACATTTCTTTTCTTTCTCGTGCAGCGCGAGAGAAGGTGCACTAATGCAGTCATTGCCTTTTTCCTCAATGCCAAGGGCCTCCAGGATTTCACGTCCCAGTTTTGTCCCGTTCCTTGCCACAATGATTACGTCGTAAAACCGTGCTGAACATTGACACGCACGACAATGGGTCGGCAAATGTCGTCTTCAGCACTAAAGAAGACTTGTTCTTGTGGGAAGTTTTAAAACTCATGTCTCGAGACTATAGAAAGCCAGATATCCAAAATCGCTCCTGGTAGCGATCAGCGAGCAGGTCTGCAGGACCTTCAGGTGGGGATAAGTGTGCACAGATAAAACCATAAAGGAAAGGAAAAGAACTCGACTTGTGGTGGTGGTAGCGTTCTATGTTTACAGGATGACCCACAAGTTAGAAAAGGTTACTGGATGGAAAGGCATTCAGGTGGTGTGTCCACGTGTCGCAGGGTTAACCAGGAGCGAAGCAATGAGAGTATGTGTGACACAGCTCGCAAGTCTCAATATGACCTGTGTGAGAAGGAGGTGGTGTATCACATTCCGCTAACATACGGCCGAAGTTACATCGTACAAACCGGCCGATGAATCAACAATCGGACGAGCGAGCACGCTACACCAGTGAAAAACCTATCAGCAGGAGGACATTTGCCAACCCATTATTGTGCGTGTCAATGTTCAGCACAGCTCTACGGCATAAAAATCGTGGCAAAGAATGGGACAGAACTGGGATGTGAAATCTTGGAGGCTCTTGACATTGAGGAAAAAGGCAATCACTGCTTTAGTGCACATTCTCACGCTGCACGAGAAAGAAAAGAAATGTTCCTTCGGGGGTTAAATATTCGGTGAAGTAAATAGAAAAAAAAAAGAAGACAAAAGAATAATTCCCTCATGTGGGGTTCGTAATAGAAGAGGAAAAATAAAAAAAGAAAAGTCAGTTGTTAGGCCAGCGGTGTATATGGTCTTTTCTTCGTGTGTATGTTTATTCTAGTTCAGCCGGCCTTACCTGAAGTATGAACCAACTAGATCAGCTTAAGCCTGTTACACTTGAAATACGCATCCTCTAAACCTTCATCCGTCCCTATGTATCGCTTGGTAGTAAGTATGTTACATCTAGGATGCAATGTTTTGTCATTCTTATAGCTTCTGCTTTGCATAGATTAGCTCATTGTTTCAACTTGCCCCACCCAGTCTCGTAACAAGAAGCTAGACTGTTCGGCTGAATTATGGGAGGGAACCATCCCAAATATGTGCAGCACCCCCTAGAGCAGCTTGTGTTACCGAGCTGTGTCGGTACCGGCTGGCCGAGTGCGAGGATTTGGGAGGGCTGGGTAGGGTTCCTACCCAGCTCTCCCAAGGCAAAATGAGCACAGATATGACTATGGGGTCTCTAAAAGAGCACGTCAGGGGCATAGGACTGGCCGCGGGAGATCTGGAAGATTGTGGCACAGGGCCGTGACCTCCATGCCCGTCCGGCCCTCACGCAGGGTGACGCGGGACGGCTCGACGCTGCTGCACCTCTGCGTGAGCGCTGACACGCCTGTGGACGACTACCACACCAAGAACGTGTGCCGCTTCCCGTGCGCCTCCACGGCCCGGCTGCTGCTCCGCTGCGGGGCAGACCCCAACGCGGTGGATGGGCGGCGCAACACGCCGCTGCACGTCATCGTGGCCTACATGCGGCCCGTGAGCGACTTCCTCACCCTGCACGCCATCATTGTGGCCCTGCTTGAGGCCGGGGCGCACCCGGACGCCACCAACGGCCGGGGGGAGACCGCCGCCCAGGCCTCGCCCACGGGGGTCGCAGAGCTGGTCCTCCGCACCCAGATGGGCATCAGCCTCAGGTGCGGGATTTCTCCTTTCTCCCGTGCTTGTACCAGTGTGCGGGCACACCAACATAATTATAGTCTGCATCTGCGCAAGCTCCTCCCACAAAGCCACTCTTTCCACTTTAGCAGAGTGAATGCTGTAGATCGGGCGAGTACGGAGGGTGGTGCAACCATTCATGACGGGCAGAGAGCTTTGTGGGAGGGCTTGACCTGGTTTTTTTCACCTGCAGCAGACTATAGACCACTTCGGTTGTGGAACGTGCCGTAGGCACGTACAACGAAGAATGTTTGAAGCTGCGTCCAAATATTTGCAGTTATACTCCATTCATGCCTAAGCTGGCAGTGCGGTGGAGGCTACATGCTCGTTGGACCAGTCATACTTCTATCTTTCACCATGTGACCGCTTTGCTGCCCATACCCACTGCATAGAGCTTAGTCGAATAATAAAAAGGAGGCGTTCGGTTGCTTCGGCGAGCACATAACTCCCGTCCCAGTGACGGCTTAGGGGTGAATGGAATACACCGGACGACATTAGGCCCATATCGTCTGCTAGTTTTTTCAGATGAAAACCTTGCATAACAAGCTCTGTGTCTTAAAGTATTGTGACACACACAGGAATTCCTCTGCCCGCATCTATGTAAATTTACTCGAAGTGCGTCTCGCATGCAAAGTTTTCCTTTTTGCAATTTTAGCAGGCAAGGGTATGGAACATGTTTTGATACCCCTTAGCACAAAGTTGTCCAAGCCCCTTGATGATGGGAATTTTATCCAGGGCTTGATATGCAGGCATTTCCTACTAAACATTACATTGTTTAACGCCATCAATACTTAAACAAATCGAGACAGAATTATGAGGTGAAGAACCCAATTTCGTCTGCCATTGACGTGCAAAAGTGACAGTGCCCGATATAATGCATTCTGGCATGGCTCTCGTAGGTCACCTCTATATTTATTTACAACAAGGGCTCGATGGATAAGGAGCTGGCTTGCACAGTCAGTCTCGTGGCTAGTGTCACGAATTGAGCAGTGTCAAACCATACTCCTTTTTTTTCGTGGGAGGTCCATGCTGTAGTTTGGAGACTACAGCATTTTTATTGCTGCCATTATTGCGGCAAACATTAAACTGCTATATGAAATTTTGAGAAGGATCTATTTGAAGGTCTCGGCCCTGCTCATCCATCCATCCTTCCGTCTGAGTACTCCCACTGACGGGTGGCGCTCTCTATGTTGCAGGTGTCTGGCTGCACGGGCAGTGGCCTGCTACGGCCTCCCCTTCCGATCAGGAGAGATCCCCCAGTCTCTGGTACCCTTTGTGGAGATGCACGGAGGGAGAGGACGGCCCCAGCCTAGGCCAGGGGCACTCTGAGCTCCGGGCATCCATCCGTCCACACCCGCTGCGGAAGACCTGCATGGTGCGTCGTATGTGTCCAAACCCAAGATCTACCGGACAACTGCACAAGCACTGCTGTGGATTTGACGAGTCATTTGGCACTGCTGTGGGCTTGACGAGTGATCTGTCACTATTTGACACTGTCCGACACTGATGTGACCGTAGTGCCGACTGTCTACGGAGACAACTACTCCAGGGGCTGCTTCTACCTCCGGTGTCGTGACCCGTTATGCATTGTTGCCTGCTGTGCAAGGGGAAAGTGGATCTTAGCATGTTTGGGTGTGTGTGCTCCTTCCAGGTTTGCTCTTGGCCAACTTTTGAAGGGATGCCTTTAGTTGTCTGCAACCTGCAACCCAGCTCGTTCTTGCGAGTTCGTTAAGATGTTTGCTGGTGCTTATTGCAAACCCGGTGACTTGTGTTCGGTGTTTTCGGGTCAGAATGTAGTTTTATTTGTGCGAGGTGTATATGTGAGCGCAGATCAATAATCTTTGCTGCGAACACCAGCGGTGCCCCTAGAGGTTCTGGTCCCTCGGCCGACTTTGGCTAGACTTCGGCTTGTGCGCATGTTAGTTTCTGCTCCACCAAGGGCATCTGACGGATGTATTACAGGACGAGCCACAGGAAGTTGAGATCTGAATGCTGTAGATCTGATTGAAAGACATTTTTGCGCCACCTAATTATTGTTATATTTATGCTCGCATTGGGTAAAAAGTAACTACCTAGGAAGGTTCCAATGGGTGTTGTAACTTTGGGCAAACAAGGGAAGCCAGCTGAACGACCCAGACCTCCTCCAATGCCATCTGGTGGGCAAAAGAGACAGGTGCATTCTGTCCTCTCGTCCTACTAGAGACCACGGTGCTTTAGGTGAATTCATTCCAACTTTGTGTTTAGTTTGCGTAGAAAACTTGGGCTCTACGATTGGGCCTAGTCCAAACTCTCCCTCGAATGCCCCATATTTCTTTTGGTCACAAAATCTACACTAACCATGGCACATCCAAGTGTGCATTTGGCAAGCTGCAGCATTTTGGATTATTTTGTGATACGATATTGCAGCCAATGTAAACCGGCATTTGCAATATATTCACGATTTTAGCTTTTTTTTTTTTTCCTGTGTGTCAGCTGGATTTAACGTAGTGCCTGGAATCCATTTGGAGCTAGTATTTAGCATCTTGTAATAGCAATGCACTCTAGCACCCCAAAGCGGCAACTAATTATTTTGCAGGGCGGTCGCTCAAAGAGTTAGCGGCAGGAACAAGCTAACGCTAGAGTTTCCATCGACTGCCGAGCCGCAGACCGATCTGCGGCAGAACGGGCATCTGCATGCACACTTCCGCTGCCGCATAACCGCCAGAGTCGCAGCAATCCGCAGCAGTACACGATTACGACGTCAATGGACAAGAATAGACGAGCCGCATTGCGACTCGAGGACGGGTTTCGGACTAGTCGCTCCAGCGGGCTGCTGGGGTGGAACTTTCTTTTGAATTTCGGGTGGGCAGGATCCACCTTCTCCACGCGCATCTATTTTTGTACGTAATACGTTTAGGGGTGGCGGGCAGCCACCCACTGGTTGAGTAAAACTGTTCTCTTACCCCTGCTGTGATAAAGGAGGATGCATCTCGCCGGGGCGGTCTGCACTATAGTCGCCGACAAGGTGAGGACGGCAGGGAGAAGGTTCGGTTGGCCCGCCTCCAGCGCAAGCTTCCTACCTTCGGCGACGCTTCGACGATGTTTGCAGGACGCACCCCACTGTCACTTTTTCGGCAACTACAAGCTGGGGAGTGCTTCCGACCTCCGCCGGTAGCCTGCGTGTATCCAAGGAAAACGGCCCTGCGTGCCGTGCCCACACCTTGTGGGACAAATGTAGTGAGCTAATATATTGGACAGAGTGTTTCTATTTTGTTGTTGCTAGCATGGCACATTGTGAATGTGCCACACTGCACCGCCGTTACTGAGAGTCTGCTTTTGGCATGGGTATTTCTCCGTGCAGTCGCCTGTCGTCGCCGGAAATGTTGCTCCGGTCGACCGTCGTCGCTTGGATTGGCCGGAACTTCGGCCGTATTTTGCGTGCACCTGTGGTAGATTTCGATTAAAGAGACTGTGAAAAGATCTTTGTGGCTTTTTCCGATGAGATTGAATTGTGCAGAGCAGGCATTGCTCGTTTTTCTCTTTGCGTTGAAAAAATATTGCTCGAAAACCGGCGTTCCCGTCCTCTTCTGTTCGAGGTCCGGATGGAGTGGTCGCGCATCTGTACTCCATTTCACCTTACGAGGGACCATGCCAGACGTTGCGAGCCATTCCAGCATTGTGAGCGAATCATGTGACTGTGCCTAGCACATCGCTGCACCTATGCCGAGGATAGCGTGACACTTGCACATCATTTGGTTGGCTTCGATGGCTGGTAGCATATTTTTTTATCCGTTGTAAGGGCAAATGGAGTATGGTGATAAGGCTCATTGTTCATCATTGCTATCGGCTTCCTGGTGCAAGCACCCGCTCCGAGCGTTCCAGGATCTTCGTCGGTGCATTGATTTGACCCAAGTCGGTGCCGACAACTCTGTGGTACAACCCTGGCCTCCAAAGTTGCTGATGAAGAAATTGCTCCTCCGGCAGTTGCTAGGCCACTCAGCAAAAGGAGCGCAAATAGCAACGAGCCATTTTTCTCAACCACAATCTTGTCTGAAGAACGTGACGGCTAGAGGAGTGCTCTGCACACCAGCAATGTTGGAGGCCTCTGTTGTTATTTTAAGAGGCCAGATTTGTCGCCAGGTGACATACAACTGGCTCTTCAAAGGAGGCATGAAGGTCCTTGAAACGCCCGATTGTAGTACATGTAATCTCTGAAGGATAGTATGCCTGATGCATGGCATCTGGCGCATCTACTGTAGATGGGTAATTTGGCCAGTGAAGTACATGACGGCTAAACCGACCGTGGCTCAAGAATGGGGCGAAGTGCTCTCGCTACTTGCGCTGCCAAGGGTAAGAGAAGACTTTGTTTGGCTATTCTCTTTAAAAGTTTGATTTAGCGAGAAACCGGCCTAAGCAATGAGGTGCAAGATGGAGGCCTGTTATTGAACATCTAATAAAGTGTAAGGACAGAACGAGCGCGTTGGTATGGATAATTAAACTTGAGGAAGAAAACGAGAAGGGACGTGTTTGTCCGTCCCTTCTCGTTTTCTTCCTTTCAGTTTAATCAAGTGAGCGAAACATTTTTTGTATTCATTGAACCATGATTCGGTACTTTTGTGCATGGCACAATATTCATCACACCACGGCAATAAAAGTATACTATTTGAAGCGTTCATGCATAAAATGTTTTCTGACATGACACTTCCCTTACATTGTGTGTAATAATAGATATAAATGAGTCCGGTAACGAACCAATACTTTTAAACTTAGAATAATTTTTTCTTTCATTTATCAAAAATATGATGCCGGCATTCTGTACACCACATCAATTTTATGTCCTACTTCCCACCACAAAAGATACACTACTTTTTTTTTTTCTTTTGGTAAAAAACAGGAAATTGGCACCGAAAAACACGGAATCTGCCGAATTCCCGGAATAATAAACACCGAAAACACGGAACCCTATGGTTGTCACCTAAAAGATTAATTACTTTTTACACATTTTAGAGCCAATGAGCTGTAACGTTGTTTAGCACGTTAGCACAGTAGTGTGCATCAACGAAGTTCTGAACCCCTTGTTCAGCACCAACCGGATGACTTGTGATCTGGATGATCAAATGATGATATTGGTCACTAGGCGCGCTGGGTTCGAGGGCGCTATCGCGCATGCGCGCTTCTGCTCTTTTGCAGAAGCGTCGGCCATATTGTGTGAACCTAGGGCATAGAATGTGTCAAAATTTGGTGCCCTAAAGTGCGTGTGAATTGCTGCTACAGCTGCGGATCTTGCCATGCACTCGAGGTGATATCATGGCCTGCCTAAACAGTCTCAAGCAGGACATAAAGACGTTGGAAGCTTCCTTCCCAAAGAACCACGAACGATTTCAAGTGGTAACTGCGTCGGTGGACGAACTCACTTGCCGATTTATCGGCCGGAACGCCAAGAAATTCGAGATCCACGCCAACATCACAGTAAGTCGCGTCCGCCGCACCTTGCCCGTACCTCCGGACCGGTGCCCGACCCTTGCTGGGGCTCCTTTGTGACGTAACGGACCGGGTTTGTCACCAGCTGAGCCGTGCCTCTCTTCCCGTCGCGATCTGGGCCGCCGGGACCTTGAACAACGACAGTCTCTTTCTCCGCGTCGGTGAACAATTAGTTCCCCTCCCTGTTTCGAAAGGAACGAATTGGTCCGATTTCGAGCGGGTCTAGTTTCTTGGAACACGGCTTGGCCCCAGTATGCGGGCGTCGGACGCTGGGCAGTCCCAGCCTCGGCGTGCGTTGTTGACGCAAGGTGAACGCTGCATTGTTGACTGTCGTCTGGGGCTACCGAGGTGGTATACGCTTTTCGCTCTTTGGAGCGTCTGGACCCGGCGCTGTTTGTTTCTTGCGATTCGAGGTTCTCCGAACCGATTGTTTCTTGGGACGTTTCGTGTGGTCTGTTTTGATAGCGTCCCTAAGATAGCCGCCCGCGGGCCCCGCGCTGCTAGCGCGTCGTGCAGGCGGGCTGAGAACAGATAGTTTGTTGTTTGCTTCCTTTGCGTACGGGCGTGTGTTCCCTTCCCGCTGCAAATAACAAGCGCGTTTTTTCTTTGGGGCTAATGTCTCGTGGAATACGCTGCGACGGTCGGTGTTTCCGTCGCCCCGCGACGCCGTTCGGATAGCGGGCGTTGTGTCCACGGCGTCACGAACGTGTCTACTCCAAAGAGAGAGGAGAAAAAAAAAGAGGTTAATTTGGAGAGCAAGCGTTACGACCCTCTTTTTTGTTTTGGTTGTTTACGGGGTTCAAATGGAATTTGCGGCCAAGATCCGATTTTGCTGGCGGATGTCCCTCGTCTGTAAGCTTTTAGAGCAGCGCGGAGGGCGACTGTGCAAGTAACATATCGCATCAGGAAGTGAAGGGCCCGCAATCGTGTGCATGGCTTGCGCGTGACGTCGTTGCACTATGCTGGTCGTCATTGCTACTTGTTCTCACCCCCCTGGCCCCGCAAACAAAAGTTTGTTGGTATAAAATGTATGTTGCCTGTGGTATGTGCTTAGTAGCAATACCACCACAATGGCAGCTGGTGGTGTGACATCAATGCAAGCCATGTTTTTATGAAATGGGGTGTTAAAATGGCTTTCTGTTCAATCCATGCGTGGCTCACAAAGAAACACCCGCCCCATGTGTCCGTGAAAGTTGCAACTCGCTCGGCATATGTCACTTGTAATCCTGGTGGCTAGCATGAGAAAGAAGCTCGCTGCTGACACGCAATCCTTGATATTGCCAGCGCACAGTCATTTGCTCCCAGCACAGCCTCTGTCATTGAAATGAACAACCACAGTTCTCAGAACAATGTGGAAGAGTTTGAGCCACACGGCATGCCACTGCTGAGAGATGTCTGGCCGTGGCCCAAACAGCTTAAAGAATGCACCAGTTTTAAAAATCGCCAGTTCGAGATGTTTTGGTGTGAAAATGTGAGTACACGTTCAGGCAAGCATGAGCACACACTCCATCAAAGAATCTAGACCCAGTTGGGTCTAGCTACTTCCAATGAGCCACAATCACCCAGAGCTGTGTGCATACTCCCTAGGCCCGCCACCCCCAGAGGTTGCCTTGTGATCCCCACTTTGCACTTGTCTGGCCTAGGTTGAGTTTCCCCAACGTCCCTTTTGTTCCCGTTGTGGCTCGTCTATTTTTCCCAGCCTGTTCAGAAAGAAGCTTCTTACCTCTCCTTCCTAACAATGCTCATCACTTCGTGGGAGGAATGCGCAAACCCAGTTTTTTGTCCGGTTGGACCAGCTCTTTAGAAAATAACCGGATGGATGGATGTTACTTGCTATGCCCTTTGTAGCAGGCGGTAGCTTGCACCACCTAAGTCTAAGAAAGACAAACATTTGATACCTCCTGCCCTTCTAAGCCAATTTTCTACCCCCTAACTATCAACAGGTAGTGTGGGATATCACCAGGATGACTTTTAGGGGATCGGGCAAAAAAAAAACAAAAAAAAAACATCAACCCCCGCCTCTTTCCTCGGGCGAGGGAGTCACCAATTTTCCTCTGGTCAGACCTTTTCGGCGTTACCCCTGCACCGGACCCACTGGGGGACAGGGTTGAGACTTTGTACCGGAGCCACGTGGGAGAGAGTCCCAATTCTCCTCTGTCTTGCCTGTCCCCAACTGTGCTAGTTAGTTCTGCATCATTCAGTTTTCCCTAGATAATTTCCACCAATCTTCTAATTGCCTCTTTGTGACTGTAATCCTCTTCTCCTCCGTCCCTCCATCGTCCCCAGCAAACCCCAGGGCCCCGGCCAGATTCGTTACCCCTTCAGGGAGGGCAGGACAAAGCCCTGTGCACTTTAATACCAAGTGCTCAAGTGTCTCACCCTCATTATGGCAGGCAGCACATAATGTGTCTATCTCCTGAAATTTAGCCCTATACGTTCTCGTCCTCTAAACTCCCATTCTCGATTGAACAGCAAAGAACTTCCTAGTGAATTGTCGAACACATTTTCCTTTACGTCCTGCATTCATGACCTGTACACTGTTAGAGCTGATTTCTCCTGCATTCTTCCCTCCCATATTTTCCTCTCTGCCTCTTTCATCCCCTTTTCCACTGAAATAGTCTGCTCGGCCCCATCACCAGTGTGTAGGTATTTAAATGTAAGCTTTCGGGTTCGTTTTGTCCATTTTTTGTTTAGTAAACTTTTCATGTATAAATACTTAAATACCTTACATGCCCACCGTGTATCATCCATTTCGGTCAACCTTTGTTCAAATTTCAACTTACTAATTGCCTCCCTGCTTTCAAAGGACGACCAGCCCATGTCCCCCCTGTACACCCTCATTTGGTGTCATTCCATGTGCCCCCAGCGCCAGTCTGCCTACGCTTCTTTGTCGAATTTCCAATCCTGTTTGAACCTCTGATTTCATGCACAGTACCCCATTGCCAAAAGACAGTCCTGGTACCATCACTCCTTTCCATATACCTCTGACTACTTCATATCTATTATAGTTCCATAGCGCCTTGAGCTTCATAATTGATGAATTTCTTTTCCCTTTCCTAACTATATTCTCCTCATGTTCCTCTAGATATTTCGTTCCCTCATTGAGCCAGACTCCCAGATATTTGTATTTTCCTACTTGGTCTATTTAGATGTCTTGTATCCTCAGGGGTTCCTCTTTTTGTCGTTAAACACCATTACTCCAGATTTGTCACTACTAAAACTCATGTCCAGTGTGTCCCCTTTCTCTCCACATATTCCAGCTAGTTCCTGTAACATATCATGGTTATCTGCCATAAGTACTATGTTGTCTGCATACATAAGTCCTGGTATTACCTGTACTACATTTCTCCCTCCTTTCATATATCTCACATCAAAACCTAAGTTGCTCTGCTCTAATTTCTTTTCCATTTTCCTGAGATCTATCATGAAAAGCAGAGGTGACAGTGGACAGCCCTGCCTGAGCCCTCTTTTTATCGCTGCGGGTTGTGTAGTTTCTGCTTCCCATGCTATAATTACCTTATTGCCTGTATACACCTGCTGAAGAAACCCAACTAAATATGCATCGTTACATTCCCTGAGCTGACTCCAGAGTTTTTCCTGGCTCACATTATCGTACACTCCCTTGATGTCCAAATAAGCTAACCACAAAGGAGTCTGGTTCTTCATTGCCATTTCTATACATTGTGTGGTGTCGAATAAGTTATCTTTTAGTCTTCTATCTCTTCGGAATCCGTTTTGGAGCTCACCCAGTATTTGCATATCTTCTGCCCATTCCTCCATTCCTCCAAGCCAATGCGTCTTCGAACGCTGTTGGTTCCCCTCCGGTTGTCCAAATACTTTGCGTTGGCCTTGTGCGCCCCCGTTGTTCACGGCGAAATTTGAGTGGTTGTAAGCTTTGCCCACACATTGGAGGTGGACTGCGCTGCCGAAATTCGGAGATTTGGTTCTCCGGAATGCTGCGTTTCGACTGGACAGCCTGCAAGACTTCTTTGAGGCGTGCGTGTTTCCTAAATAGACGTTGTGAAATGTAGTACATACTGTCTTGGGAGTCTACTTCAGTACTCTTAAATTTTTGTTTTATCATCTTGTCGGTGCTTGCTGTGAAAAGTAGTCTTTGCATCACTATGGTGCTCACTGTATGAACCGTCAAGTTTTTAATCTAAAAGCCACTGAACTTAAAAAAACAAACAAAAATAAAAAAAAACAAAAAACATGGGCCTATGATTTATGTTGTCAGTTTTCAAACTGTTGTGCTCAAACCCCGTCCTTGAGCAGGGAGGAGAGGGGGGGGGGGGGGGGGGGGATTCTCATCCTTTCTTTAATATTAATTAACCCTTTGAGTGGCAGTTGTTCTTTTTCCTCACATGCCACACACAGATTTTGGTCTCGGTAATGCTGTAGCATGCTTTGTGAATAATGTTTACTTATTAAAGGCAAACTATTTTATAGGCAAAATGTTAATCAATGCCTGCATTCCTCCAGCCAATGACGTTTTGTCGTACTGTACTTTTCGAGACTCGGCGCTGTGCGGGGGCACCCCGACCTTGCACCCTGAGGTCACTATTGAGTGGCCTTGCTTGACCTTTGTTTATTCCGAACTGTAACTTCCTTATTTGCACAGTCGTTGAATGCCGAGCTCATTGGTGATTTGTAGTTCTCGGTGTTTGCCGCGAAGTGCGAGGTTGTGCGACTTAAATTCACCATTCTGTGACAATGAACAAGCATTCGAAAGCAAAAGTCGCTTAAACAAAAGTGACCAAAAGTTTTAGATTTTGTGACCTACAAAACTTGTGATCGTTGGGAGGGGCAGCGATGAACCAAAGACGGCTGTCCGTCCTAGTTAGCAATGTTCGCTTATCTTCCGCCGTGGCTAAGTAACACCATTTCTGCCGAGGGCACCATTGGCCAGGGCCCTGCGATTTCTTGAAGTGGGCTATCTTATAGCAAATGAGGCCAAAAATAGGAGGCAGGTTATCTTTCGGGGGTGGGGCATATATCGGGATATTACGGTACTCTAATTTAACCTAATTTTCGGGAAAGAAATTTTGGACCGCCTTTCAGTGCATCGGAAATTCTGAAATATAAATACCTAGCTGCAGCTGTAAGTTCTGACATCGCATAGCCAGATTGACCACATTAGTAGCTAGAAAGGATCTGAGATGGATGGAAGGATGCTAACAGCTGTACCCTTTATAACGGGCAGCAGCTTGCGCCACCTAGCCTAGAAATTAAACACCAAAAGTATGATTCCTCCCTTTGTCCTTCTAGGCCAATATGCTTCCCCCCTGCGATTTCGTGTCTATCACCAGGCGGTGTGGAATATCACCAGAATGACCTTCGGGGGATCGGGCAAAAAAAAAAAAAAATAAGAAACATCACCCCCCCCGCCTTTTCCCCCGGCGAGGGAATTGCCAGTTCTTTTCTGGTTAAACTTAGCCAGCGTTACCCCAGCACCAGGCCCACTGGGAGACAGGGTTGAGAGTTACGCAGGATCCACGCAAGAACGAGTCCCAATATTCCTCTGTCCCGCCTGCCCCCAGCTGTGTTGTACGCCATTCAGTTCTCCCTAGATAATTTCCACCAGTCTTCCAATCTACTCTCCTTGTTATTGGAATGCACTTATCATCGATTCCATTCTCGTCAGCAAACCCCAGAGCTACGGCTCAATTGCGCCCCCTCCGGCGAGGTGGGAGCAAGCCCTGTGCACCTCAACACCACACGTTCTATTGTCTAGTCTTCCCTTTGGCATGCCGCACACCGCAGACCCTTGGGTGCATTTAATGTTGCCCGGGTGCTGATAGGAAATTGGCATACTCAACTTTTATTTGACCAAAATTAGAATATGCCTCTGCAACCTCGAATTTCCTCCCAAATTAATGACGACTCAGCCAGTCTAAAATTGGGCAGCCCGCTATATTCTATCTATTTACGGATGTACAGCTAGTGTGTTTGCAATGAAATGGAACTTAAATTTAATTACAATCAAAACATACAGCAAGGTAACACAACTTTGTCTACTACTTTATAAAATGTACCACTATCATAACTGCCACTAAAAGTTCACTTTTGCATATTCCCTTACGGCTGTGCCACCTTAACAACAACTACAATTTACAGTGCACATCCGGCTCACTAACGTGTTTGTCAAATCATTCCTACCACTCGGAGTCATAGACTAAAACAATCTCCCTGAGCGTTTGTATAAATTTTTAACTCAGAGGCCAATAACCTGGGTTCTCTTCTATTTTGCTATGCATACAACATGAAACCTAACTAGATTTCACGTTATATGTCCTTTTAACCCTTAAAAACACAGCCAGCTCTCCAAAACATTTTTTTTTTTTTTGTGCTAGGACAGATATGTTACAAAGTGAAGTTTTTTCGAAGAAAAGAAATATTTTCTCTGCAATGTTTTAATTCAGTAAAAGATAATAAAAAAAAAAGAGAGATCTATTTTAGGGCTGTCATTTTGAAATAGAAGCATGTTTTGGAATCACTGCTAACTCAAAATAAATCTTAACCTCATGCTAATTTTTTTTTTTTTTTTTTTGTGACGTGTTTGACATTTTAGAGCAAAAAGAAAAAAAAAATATTTGGGTTCAATGTCTTTAGGAAACATTTCGTAACATGCTTCTTTTTCGGGGTCGACACCTGGAACTGGGAGCACATTTCGTAATCTTTCCTAACTCGAAACATGTTGCAACTCACATATATATTTAAAAAAAATATTGCAAACTTTATTTTGTGACACATATCCAGGCACTAAAACTAATGTTTTATTTTTTTAGTTCAGTGACCCTTTCGGTATACTCATTCGTGTGTGCCTCTTATTTTAGTTTTGTTGTTTGTTTTCATTACACTGTCTCTCGCCAAAGTTGTTTTATGTAGGTTTATGCACACGTCTGCATGCATCTTATTTTGGTTGCTTTCTTGTTTGTTTTCATTGCACTGTATTGTTTGTTTATTTCTGTTGTCTCCTTATATACAGTAGAATACCGCACATCTGCCCATACCACTCTAAGCGCCCATACCCAAATTTGTAAGATCTGAAAAAATATGCAGAGTACATTCATATGTAAAATTGATGTCCGGACAAGCGCCCATCCCTCATTTTTTCGCGATTATCTCTAAAGTTTGAGTGGGCGCTTACCCGGTATTTTACGGTAGTGCCCTCAGAGGTCTTGCACTTGCAGCCTTGGCTGCAGTTACAGATCTGGAGTGTACGAAGTATAGACCCTTTTGACATTTTCAAACACAAGCCGTCTCTTGTGTCCCAAGAAACTTCCAATTGCTCCGTTCGTGCATGACTTACAAGCCTGTTGATGACAAAATTTCTGGACGATAAAGTTCTATAGAACTCACGACGTGGGGAATAAGCAAAGTCCTTACGCTGTGCCAGTCAACATATAAGAGGGGATCAGTCATCTCGCGGGACTATTAAAGGAGCTGTGCAACGATATTTCAATTGGGATGTTTTTCTCTCTACACGAGCTTACTGGCACACCTGGGACTCAAGGATACTCACACGCAACGCCATTGGCCAAGAAACTCCTTTGTTGCGGTGTAATTTCAAGGACAAAAGCGATCATTTTCATTCCATCTCTCCTTTGCAAAATTTGATGACGTAACTCGGGGATCGCAGTACACCCAAGTGACGATATTTGAATGCGGTTCATAGATTGGACCCGAGCATTGCGTGGGCACTCGACTTGGGCTCGTGACAATTGCTAGCTCGAGAAGCATTCGGGTTGTGACCCGTGTCCAATCGCTGCAACGACGACAACAGCCGAGCCATAACAATGTCTGGAAACTCAGCGCGTGTCCTGCGCTTTGCCAACCCCAGCGCGTGGCTATGATCAACACTGGCGGCATATAATCGGCTCCAGATCACGTGGCCGCTTGTTCTGGCTGCGAGTTGAGGGGGTGAACGCTGCTCGTTTTTCTTTAATTTTTTTCTGGGACTTCTATTGCGTGGGGTGAAAAACGAACGCGTGTTTCATAGGTCATTAACGTTAGGGATCCGTTTTAAGCGGTATTTGCGCAGAGTACAAAAATTGTTGCGTAGCTCCTTTAAAGGATCTCCCGCATATCTCTCACTAAGCGGTCCTTTAGCTAATTACCCGTAGAACTGTTAAAAAAATGGTCCACGAACGCTGCAAGGAGCAGTGCTATGGCGGCAATTGTCTGACCTCCCATCTGACCGGAAGTTCGTGTGGACTAAAATTGCAACATTGCCTCCTTTCTGCACTTTTACGAAAAGGATGTACCTATTCACAACACAACACATAGGAATGTGACAATGTATCTATCACCATAGAAACACTGTCAGGTATCTATCTGTTGTGTATGGATACATTCTTTTCATTATTGTGTCGTGAGTACATTTAATACATTTGTTGTGTTGTAAATAGAAACATTTGTACCAAAGTGCGGTCATGTATCTGTAGTGATGCATCATTGTACCTTGGTATAACGCTCATTCGGATTGAAATGCGGCGGGGTGGGTGCTGAACCCACCCCGTGCCGTTGTGCATTGACGTATTACGAAAAAGAGGAGGTTGGTTGCATTGCCCCGGGAGCGATTTTACGAGACTGTGCCGGTGTCCACCTCCCAGGAGACGTACCCTTCGACGCCCCCCGTCTGGTTCTCGGAGACGGAGGAGCCGAGCATCAGCAACATTGTGCAGCTGCTCACCAACACGTCGGGAAGGGACAACCACGTGAGTGCCGCCCCTCTTCTGCCTCGACGGGAAATGCTCGTGCCGGTCCCGAACCTTCGTGAAACGCGTCTCCGACTGCTGTGCTTAGCGTCTTATCCTGCCCACGCATCAAAAGCGAATTAAAGGTTAAAAGCGCAAACAAAATGGGGACAAGGAAGATTTGCAGACGACAGGACAGGCTCTTAAACTGTTGGGTTGTGGTGTTGTGTGGGATGGGACGCCATGGAACGCTGCTAGGTCATGACGTTGGCACGTCATTGCACATCATCATCATGTACATCATGAGCAACCAACTCGCCCGAACCTCTGTGTTAACGTCATTGCAGTTGACTCGTGTCAAAGTAGTGGCGTGCCCCAAATTTGTGCTTTTACCCTGGACAAGCTTGTTCCCCCACGCCAGCAGTATTTATTAAAGCCGTCTGTATGTGAACAAAAGTGCAGTAGGAACCAGAAATCACTCGTTCGCGTTATCTGTGTCATGCTCTCTACGGTCTGCAGGTTTTCTCGAGAGCGATCTGGGTCGAATTAATTACTCGCTTTAGGATTAATCCCTTCCTTATGTTCAATCTTGTGGTCGACTTTTGTGACAAATGTTGAACCGCACGCGCATAGTGAAAATGTTTCGTTGACTTCAGTCGTCGCGCTTGTGAGAACCGTTCCGATACTTATGTAATTTGATGATAAAAATTAGTGACACCCTCTTTACGACGTCATGCTGAGTAACCTAATTTGACCTTGCCTTTTGACAGCACTGGCAGAGTACACTCCACACGAAAAATAAATCCTCGCTCTTGTGATTCTAGCTTCTACCTGCGCACGGGATTTTTGGGGAGCTTCATCACTCGGGTGGGAGGGGAGCACAAGAACGTAATTTGCACCCCATGCTGCGAATTCTGCCGTGCATGGCAATGCACTGGTCTTAGAGCGGCGGCCAGGACGTGACGCGTCTCTCGCCCGCCTCCTCGCAGATCCTGCAGCAGGTGAAGATCTTAGTCAAAGAGCTATGCAAGGTGCACAGCTTTCCAGAGCCCACGGAGCTGGAGACCATGGACTGCATGCCCGCCGTTCACGTGAGTTTCTTTTGTCACGCGTATCCACCCTCATTCACTGCTGCGCAGAACCGGGGCAGCTTGTGGCCACCTCTGTTGGCCAATAGGCTGCAGTGCTCGGTCCCCACTAAGTGGCAGAGATCTTGTCCGTGTTGTCTCGGTGTCCCTGTTAAAGGTGTCTCTTTCCGGAGCAAATTTTCTTTGCTCCAGTTCTGGAAACCTGGTGACAAGGTGGGTGAGCAATAACTATAGTAACTGACAGGACGATAGTAGCAGGACGTCTCTTTTGGATGCTTGGCATCCAACACATGCTCGTTGTTTTTTTATCAAGGTTTTGATGGCACATACACTCTCGAGGTTCACGAGAGGCATTGAAGTTTTCCCCCTGCCGTTCTAATCTTATCAGTGACTATAGAGTTGGTGGTAAGTTCCGCTCACAAGCATGATGCGTATGGTTTGAGTCCGTCTGTAGCTGAGAAAATGGTTCCCCATACTTGGCACCAATTTTCTTGTCTAGTTTTGTCGAGACTGGCATAAAACCTCGTTAAGGGCGCCCCTCCCCCGAGAAATCACCCATCCCGTCTCTCTGGCTAAATCACCGTAACAAGCAAATTTCGAAACATGACCCATTCCCCAGTTCCTGTTGGGTATTGTGCGATCTGCGTCACTTGCCGTTGGTGCAGAACGACAGAAGGTGCTACCGGGCTTTTCTGAATATGGTCGAACATAGGACTGCACCTGTCAGCCACTTGAGAGCGATGGGTTACCGCATGGGCAAGCAGAATTGGTCGGCCGCTTGTCCACGCGGTAACACATCATTCTCGAGTGACTGACAAGTGCCGTCTGTCGTTTTACCTTATTCAGCAAGGTTTGGTAACGCCTTCTGTAGTTCTGCGCCGGCGGTTAGTGTCATGAACTTTGATCACTTCTTTAATATGCAAATCGGCTATGTATGAATATCATTTCCGTTTTTTTAGGATGCTTAGAGCTTATATAGTGAGTTTTGACCATAAAACAAGGATATCGAAAAGCACTTTAGTGCCCCGCCCCATTAAGGGATTTTATTAAGGGATTTTAATTTCATCTTTTTTTTTCAATATTTTTTAAAGTAGTGTTGGCTTTTTGCTATTTTTAATATGCTGCCAGCAACCTTGGCCCACCTGATGCGGCCGGAAATGTGTGGGAAGACGATGGACCTTGTTGGTCGTTGCCTGCCTTCTCGAAGTACCGAGTGTTCATCATTTCGTGAACGACAGCTCTTTCCCTTTGTCTTCATTATCGAACATGAAAATAAACGGTGTTCAGTGTTCACATAGAACTTGTATGGTTTCGAAACTGAGACTGCATTGAAAGAAAGAACAGGCTGCTTGCAGAGAGTAGCGTAGAGATGGGCCGAAAGATCAATTTCGAGAACTTGGCTAGGAGCATTGATTTAGCAATGTGGAAAAAGCTGACAGGAAAAAAGAAGCTCTCGTCCCGGAAGAAAAGGGGGCAAAAGCGCGCTGAGGAGGGTTAAACACTGTGACTTTACCCGAGACTTCTCTGCGTTTGAGTCGTCCTTTAAAAAACCCCATCCTCGGGAAAAGTCGCCCCATTCTTGCGTCCCGTTTCTTTGTCGTCATCCGGTCACGAGATGCTCTGCCCGCAGCCGTGTGAGAGCGGGGACCTCCCGGAGCACATGCACCCGGCCCACTCGGAGGAGGAGGACGACACGGACATGGAGGATGACCTCCACATCGAGATGGAGGAGGACTCCAGGTGAGCGCTTCTCTCTGCGTCCGTGCCACACGTGCGGGCGGGGCGATCGTGCTGGCTTCGTGTTGCCCGTTCCGGCATTCGCCTTGTCCACGTCGACATCTTTGTTTACTAGGCCGTGGGACACTGTGTCCAAACGTCCCGAGTATCTGCGGAGTGTCGCTCGTCACTTGCATGTCCGCTGCCCCGCGATTTTTCCCAGGTGATAAGGGTTGGAAATGTGCGAAATAAGGCACGGTCGCAGTGGGGAGTAAAAACTGGAACGGAGTGCGCAAATTGTAAGTGCTGACATGGGTGGCCTCAAGAGAAAGAATGAGAATGACGAGAACAAAAGGAAAAAGAAAGCAGACAGTACGTTAAGAGTTTCCGGTTTGCCTCAAGAGACAGAAGTCATGCAGTTGGTCGCCAACTTTTCTTTTATGCAAGAACCATTTCATGTGTTTTCTCACATAGTGAAGTCCTATAGTGTATGAAATGCATTATAGGTAATTGGAGAGTGAATTGGTGTGTCACGTGATATACGTTTTCCCACTAAATTTAGCGGGGAAACTGAATGGTTATGTAGGTCACGTGATGTCGATTTCCCCCGCTAAATTTAGCGGGGAAACTGGATTTGTGTTTAGGTCACAAGACGTGAATTTTCCCGCTAAATTTAGCGGGGAAACTGAGTTGACTTATAGGTCACGTGCCGTCAATTTCTTCTAGGTGTATAGGTCACGTGATGCCACTTTCCCGCCAATCTTAGCAGGGAAACTGAGTTGGTATATGTAGGTCATGGGATGTCACTTTTTCCGCTAAATTTAGCGGGGAAACTGAATTGGTCTATGTCCCGTGACGTCAGGTCACGAGACATCAATTTTTCCTCTGAATTTAGCTGAGAAACTGAATTTGTGTATAGGTATCGTGATATCTATTACCCCGCTAAATTTAGCAAGAAATTCACGGACGGATGGACACAATTTTGGGATGGGGGGTAGCGTTAAAAAGCATTTCATGCTTTAAAAGAGCAGGTACTGACCTCGCAAGCGATACTTTGCTGCTGCTTTGCCTTTATAAAAAAATTGTCCGCGATCTGGGCCCCCTAGGATGACCGACGTGCGCTTCCACATCCCACCGTTCCAACGCAGCCGAAATGTGTGCAAACAGGGCAGACCTTTGCCTGTAGATTTCTGATAAGCAGCCTGGGTGGCTGCGAAGCAAAGCGCCGCCTCTCGACGGATGCTTATTGCGGAGAAGGCATGTGCGGGTGGCACACCTGTTCAGTTTGTCTTTAGGGTAGGGGTTTTCCAACTTTTTATCTCCAGGAACCCCCTTGGGTAACAGCCAAGAAACCACACACAGTCTCGGTATTGATGCAGTAAAGCAGTGCAGAAGCCTACAGACCTTGTAAACAGTAATGCATAAATGAGAGTATCTCGTTCATAGCCACATATCAGTGAATGGTTCAAATCTCCTAAAGTAGCGCTTAAACTGAAAAAATTTGTGCCACTTTCGGATAAAGATGGGTGAGGAAACGGGAATGCTCTGGGAGCTTAAGTAGGAGCTCTGGGAGATCCCGTAGCGCGGCAAAAAGATGCCAGACCAGGTGACCCTGGGACAGTGGTAAAACCCCCCAAATTCGACAGGAGACTTAAGACGCAAACCTTGTGGATCTCGCAGTGGGCAGGAGAAGGGCAAGGAGGACGGGCTGAGCACGGAACACCATGCGACCCTGGAGCGGCTGCGGCAGAACCAGCGGCAGGACTACCTGCGGGGCTCGGTGTCCGGCTCGGTCCAGGCCACGGACCGGCTGATGAAGGAGCTGCGGGAAGTGTACCGGTCGGAGAGCTACCGGCGGGGGGTCTTCAGCGTGGACCTGGTCAACGACTCCCTGTACGAGTGGAACGTCAAGCTCTTCATCGTAGACTCTGACTCTCCCCTACACAGCGACATGACCCTGCTCAAGGAGAAGGAGGGCAAGGACCACATCCTGCTCAACATCCTCTTCAAGGTCTCTCTTTCTTTCTTTCCGTTTGTGCTTTTAAACGCGGAATGTGTCGAAGGGCTGGTATTTCCGAGGGAAGTGCGACAGAACGTCACGAAAACCATTAAGAAATGTGTAACACATACTTCAGAGGACAATCTGTACGAAAGACTGGTAAATGTGCCTTGGTTACGAGCTCAATACGCTACTGCCACGCCAAAAAGGAGTCTCGCAAACGCCCTTTCACTCGCCGTCCGATTGTGAAGGCTGAATGCTGAATGCCAGCACGCGAGCAGTGATTAGAGAACTAGCTTTGCATGTACTTGCTTATCATTCCAACTACAGCTCGGCGCTTCATCATCCCCGCACACTCTCACCTCCTCACCTCTCTTTCTCTCTCAGTTTTTATCTGTATAACCGAGAAAAACTAAAAGAAAGATTGGTAAACACTTAACGAAACTTGTAGGGTGAAACACAGCTACAGCTGAGGTTCGACGTCGGAGCCGCTAAGTTGTCATTACAGAGCATGTGGACTGAATAAATGCTGAAGCCACGAGCACGCACCATAGAGTCTGTGATGAGAATTCCATAGTGTTTTGGAACCAATGAGGGTGTATTAAGTAGAGAGAATTTTGGGAACCAGTTATGGTAAGCAATTTTATTGGACACAAACTAGGACTGCCTGATGGTAATTAAGGAACTCTGAAAATTGTGCGGCCAAGTTTGAAATCCAGGGAACAGCAAAACTGCATGTGTATGCACGAACCGCTCCTTGTCGTTGGTGTGGCTGCCTGAACGTCTTATGCAATGTTACTCGACACAAACTAACACCGCCTTGTGGTCACTGAAGAACACTTCCAGAAGCGTGCACTCAAGTTCCAAGCGTGTGGCTCAACCTAATTTCACGCCCGTTATTTTGCCACTTTAAAGGACAATGCAAAGGAAAAATTCTTTTTTTTAAACAGCGTAGATATAAAACGAATGTCAATAAACAAAATTTACAACGAAAAAAAAATATATATAGAGCTATTTTTACGGCTCGAAACAAATTTGTAGTTGGCGCCTGCAGGAGTCCGCGGAAAGGGGGCCACTATGGTCATGTGGTGCTTGTGCTTTTTTAGGAGCTTCATATGAGCTCTACAAGGTACTTAATCATCTTTGTTTGAAGTGCTACAATAAGAAAACAATGATTAATAAGTAACTTTTAGAGCCCAAAGGAAGCTCCTGAAAGAGCTCAAGGACCACATGATAGACCTCTGCACCGGTTAAAAACTGACGGCTTCTAAACCTAAATAGCTTGCAAGCACTGTATGTGTGCCCCCTAAATAATTAATTAAAAAAACCCTGTCCATTGACACCACAAAACATCTTAAAAAAAAAAAAAAAAATTGATCATCTTTTTTATTTTGGTGAAGATGGAAGACCAGCGAAGCTGGACTATGCGCTTGAAGAGCTGTCTGCATTTAATGTGGACGTCGATCACAAGGTCGTCTTTGATTTTGCGGGGTAGGCTCCGAACCGTGTGTTGAACGTCGATGGGAACGTTAACCACTTGGCCTCGGATACCGTACTGTCCCCGGTTGTCTTTGTTATATTACGTCAACCGCCGAAGGCTCATGAACGGGAGTCGAGGCTCCACTAGTCATTCCTCCACCATGCTCAACTTCGGTAGGTGCTCCGGTGCGGGTGGGCACTTGTATCCGTTCACAACGGCGAACCGGAGCACCGCGCCTTTGAGCAGGGATTCTTAGCGCGTTCCGCACGCCGGCTCTTTGTAGACGTCTGGCGACTCTATACACTGCTGCAACGTGCCCGTTTCCTGCTTCTTCTCGTCCGACCTGCCGCCGATCGTGATTACGTCTCCGGTGAACCAGAGTCGGTCGCACATGGCGCACGTGACGCCGAACGGGTTCTCCACCAACTCTCTCCGGAACTTCGCTGTCGCACCTGGGAACTGTTGAGCCGGCGTGGCGTCCTGTTGTTGTAGCACGATCGTTGTCCATGGCGTTGGCCCTTAACGGCTTTGCTGTTAAGGGCCAACGCAAGGGTTAACAGTTGAGTGGCCACTAAGGCCTGAATGTCATTTGATTCTTGGTCCCCCCACCCCCATGTGCAGGAGAACTACCCGTTCGAGCCGCCCTTCATCCGGGTGGTGAACCCCATGATCTCTGGCGGCTACGTGCTTGGAGGCGGAGCGATCTGCATGGAGCTGCTCACCCGCCAGGTGGGTCCTTGGTTCCGGTACTTGGAACGCATCTTTCACTGGTGCGTTTAGGGATCTTTGCTGCCCGTACATCGAAAGGGGTCACAAAGTGCCAACAGGTCGCGCTACCTGCACCGGCGTGTCATGCTTTTAGATGTCGCAACCTCGGCGGTTGATCGAAGAAGTTCTGGCGAAAAATGACAGCATATGTGGGCGTCGCTGTCTTTGCGGAGCCCCAACCACCGGCTGCCAGAGTTTCCGTAAACTTCCAAGCTGAAGAGTGGCCTTCTGCGGAAGAGGTGTCTGTTGCATCCGCCTCCGCTGTTGTGCCACTTTTATGTTTGTGATGGGCAACAGCACGACATTCCTACGACGTCGGCACACAGAAATCGGCAATGGAAGCACTGCGCCGTTTGCGCTAAATTGTGCCGCGAACAAAGATCTGCCACGTCTCGTGCCAAATTCCCCTTTTTTTTGCTAAGGATTGCGCCACACCTGCACCAAGTAGGCTTCAACAAAGGAAAAAAATTTAAATATTTAGTTATTGGTGGACCTTAAGGGGGAATATGGCCTGAGAGGGTCAACTTTTGAACCCTTCACCCAATTTGGTTCAAATTTTGAGGGTTATTTCAGCACTATGAGGAAGGATAATCTGCAAACTTTTAGCATTGTTGGTCAACTTTACAGTATGCTACGGTTCTCGCACTTCAGAAAAAAGACACTTCATTAGGAAGTCTATCGTAGAAAAATAAAATTAGCTGGTGGCAAAATTTTTGCTTTAATGTGAAGAACAATACCCACAGTGCAACCTGGATAAAAAATAAATTGCAAAATATTCAGTTATAACAAAAATAAGAACATCCCAAAATTAAAAAAAAAAATGTAAAAATTTTGTTTAAAAAAAATTTTTTTTTTTTTCATAAAGGAGTAGATTTTTTGAACTGTGAAGTAGTCTGTCTTGTTCCCCAGAAAATTTCAGTCCCAGAAAACCTTGAATGATGTCCCTCTGTATTCAGAATGTCAAACGATAGCTTTCCTAAAACAAGAATTCCTGTACATAATTAAACAGCGCACAAGGAGAGGGACAGAAAAGGAAGACAGAACAGGCAAGCGCTGACTCGCAACTGACGATTTACTATGAAAAGGAGAAGGAAGAAAACTACACACATGAACATATATCGGAAAAGAGAAAGATGTGAAAAAGCTAATAAATTAAATAAAATTACACCTAAAATAATTATAGCTGAAAAGGAAAACAAAATAAAATGAAAATCAATCTCTCAAAGTCCTAGGCATGTCCAGTGCCGGCACTCCGAAGCCTTGACCATACACCTATTTGTGCGCAGCTGCCCCCATAAACTCATACTCGCTGTCTTGTAGTGTTAATGATGGCTGGCTCACACATTTGGATTCGAGCTTTCTTATCCAAAAGGCTTCCACTATTTCTCTTGTTGTTTTTTCTTTATGGGAAGCTAGAACAGTTGTTGCACAAAAATCTGGATCACATCCACAGGTTCTGCAGTGGATGGCTAGGTGGCTTCCAGTGGTGGTTTGAAGAGACTGTTTATGTTCCCTGAAGCGGTCGTTGAGGCAACGCCCAGTCTGTCCGACATAGGTTTTCCCGCAGGACAGAGGAAGATGGTAAACCACTTGTAGAATGCAAGACACAAAGTGCACCTTGTGGTTTTTCATGCAGCAAGCCCTGCTGTCATTGTTCTTGTCCACAAGCGTGCAAATTCTACCCAGTTTGTTTGGGGCTGAAAACACCATGGGCACGTTGTATCTATTGGCCACATTTTTTAAGTTGTGCGACGTCTTGTGGATGTATGGTATAACTAGTGGTCGGATATTGGTAAGGTCTTTGCTCTTTTTTCTTTTGGTCGATCCTTTACAGGTTTGTATCAGAGTGCCCGCAACTTCACTTAACATGGCTGATGGAAAGCCGGATCTTGAGAGTTTGTTTACTTGAGTGCTGAAACTCTGTTCGATGGTGTGGTGACAGGATTTTTTCAAAGCTGAATACATGCACGAACTGGCTATCCCTCTTTTTATTAATTTTGAATGGGCAGATTGGTAATTAAGAATTTCTTTTTTGGAGCGTGGTAGGTAGGACCAACAAATGTGGTGATCTGAGATTTTTATAGATAGGTCCAGGAACTGCAGCACATTTAGAATAGGTTGTTCATACGTAAAACTCAGACCTTTACCGCTTCTGGAGAAAACACTCAGGATTGTATCTATTAAGTCTTCTGTTTGTTCTTCTTGGAGGATAATAAGAAAGTCATCAACGTACCTGAAGACTTTTATAATAGACATAGTGCTCAAAAGCGGTGCGAGGATCATGTCTACGCCTCCCAGAAAGATGTCGCTTAAGATGGGAGCAACACATGACCCAATGCACACTCCAGACCGTTGTAGGTATGAAGAATCTTGCCATTTTACAAACAAGGCTTTCAGATAAAAGTCTAGTAGCTCCATGAAGCTTTCCGTTGAAGTACCACTCGAATTCTGAAACTTAATTTCTCCTGATTGTTCAATAGTTGATTTGACTGAAGCCAGGAGAGCATCCTGTGGAATGGAGTAATACAGGTCCACCACGTCTACGCTGAAGGCTCCTCTCTTCTGATTGGTGTCACTCTTCAAAAAATCAATTACCTCCTCGGAGTTGTGTATGAGGAACGGGTCAACTATGTTGAGGCTAGAGAGGTGTCTGGAGGTAGAGGGCGATCTGTTTCTGCCAAGTACCCCTTTCTGATACAATGGCCCTGAAGGGACATGCATCTTTGTGGGTTTTTGCACTAAAAAATATATCCAGGTGCAAGCCCTCAGCTTTCTTTATTTTTACCGCCAGCTGATTGAGACTTAGCTTTTGACAGGTGGCATATGCTCTTTCCTTGATCTTTTTCAGTACTATGTCTACAGGCTTGAAATTTTTCATTACAGCAGCGTTAGCCTTTTCATTGTACATACCCTCGGGCATGACGACAAAGCCTCCTTCTTTATCTGAGAGCAGAAGTTTCTGGGAGTTTTGCCCTAAATATCTGACCACGGGTCTGACTTGAATGGGCTGTCTTCCTTTCTTGATGGAGCTTGTGATGACGTTCACACATTCTGAGATGCATCGGGGACGATCTGCTTCTGGAACTTTGAAGGCTACCTTCCTTGCCAAGGTTAGTAAAGCAGGTGGCTGTAAGGTGGGTTCCACGGAAAATTTAGGGCCTAGGTCTAAAGTCTTCCTTACAGGAGAAGGAATACTAACGTCGCCCAAGATGGTTGTTGTCCCTTTGACGGCAGTCAAGTTTCTCTTTTTGCAGAGCAGTTGGGGAAGAATCCCCCGCCAGAGAAATTCAGCAACTTGTCTCTCCGAATTGCTCATGTTGTAGAACAGCCTTCGTTGTTGGTTCTCGGTGCCTCCACGAGCAGCACAAGCCACTCTAAGGCATTCCTTGAAATACCTTTCTTGCCGCCAGTACTCGGAGCGAAGAATCCGACACAGTCTTCTTGCATGGCCTGCTGACGGTTGTAGCATACCGCACAATCCATGGAGTTCCACCGGACAGAGGCCCTTCTTGATGTGCCAGGAGGCCACTCTGGCACTAAACATGCACTGGGCCGCGAGGTTGACCAGATGAAAAATGTTACTGAAAGGGGCATATTTACATGTGAGAGGAGGATAGAGGCCCGATGTACTAGAAATGAACTTCAAAATGGTGGATACTTGGGCTAGTTGGTGGTTGCTATACATAATTAAACAGCGCACAAGGAGAGGGACAGAAAAGGAAGACAGAACAGGCAAGCGCTGACTCGCAACTGACGATTTACTATGAAAAGGAGAAGGAAGAAAACTACACACATGAACATATATCGGAAAAGAGAAAGATGTGAAAAAGCTAATAAATTAAATAAAATTACACCTAAAATAATTATAGCTGAAAAGGAAAACAAAATAAAATGAAAATCAATCTCTCAAAGTCCTAGGCATGTCCAGTGCCGGCACTCCGAAGCCTTGACCATACACCTATTTGTGCGCAGCTGCCCCCATAAATTCATACTCGCTGTCTTGTAGTGTTAATGATGGCTGGCTCACACATTTGGATTCGAGCTTTCTTATCCAAAAGGCTTCCACTATTTCTCTTGTTGTTTTTTCTTTATGGGAAGCTAGAACAGTTGTTGCACAAAAATCTGGATCACATCCACAGGTTCTGCAGTGGATGGCTAGGTGGCTTCCAGTGGTTGTTTGAAGAGACTGTTTATGTTCCCTCAAGCGGTCGTTGAGGCAACGCCCAGTCTGTCCGACATAGGTTTTCCCGCAGGACAGAGGAAGATGGTAAACCACTTGTAGAATGCAAGACACAAAGTGCACCTTGTGGTTTTTCATGCAGCAAGCCCTGCTGTCATTGTTCTTGTCCACAAGCGTGCAAATTCTACCCAGTTTGTTTGGGGCTGAAAACACCATGGGCACGTTGTATCTATTGGCCACATTTTTTAAGTTGTGCGACGTCTTGTGGATGTATGGTATAACTAGTGGTCGGATATTGGTAAGGTCTTTGCTCTTTTTTCTTTTGGTCGATCCTTTACAGGTTTGTATCATGAAAAACCACAAGGTGCACTTTGTGTCTTGCATTCTACAAGTGGTTTACCATCTTCCTCTGTCCTGCGGGAAAACCTATGTCGGACAGACTGGGCGTTGCCTCAACGACCGCTTGAGGGAACATAAACAGTCTCTTCAAACCACCACTGGAAGCCACCTAGCCATCCACTGCAGAACCTGTGGATGTGATCCAGATTTTTGTGCAACAACTGTTCTAGCTTCCCATAAAGAAAAAACAACAAGAGAAATAGTGGAAGCCTTTTGGATAAGAAAGCTCGAATCCAAATGTGTGAGCCAGCCATCATTAACACTACAAGACAGCGAGTATGAGTTTATGGGGGCAGCTGCGCACAAATAGGTGTATGGTCAAGGCTTCGGAGTGCCGGCACTGGACATGCCTAGGACTTTGAGAGATTGATTTTCATTTTATTTTGTTTTCCTTTTCAGCTATAATTATTTTAGGTGTAATTTTATTTAATTTATTAGCTTTTTCACATCTTTCTCTTTTCCGATATATGTTCATGTGTGTAGTTTTCCTCCTTCTCCTTTTCATAGTAAATCGTCAGTTGCGAGTCAGCGCTTGCCTGTTCTGTCTTCCTTTTCTGTCCCTCTCCTTGTGCGCTGTTTAATTATGTATAGCAACCACCAACTAGCCCAAGTATCCACCATTTTGAAGAATTCCTGCCAAAAAGTGAAACTGAGAAAAATGTGTTTAAAGTTTCAACTTGTTTTTTTTTTTTTTTTTTTTTTTTTTTTTCGGACGATGCCAGGAATTTAAAATTTACCCGAGTCATTGGTGGCACCTTCAACTACATGAGCATGAGGAGGGCAGTGAGTTGAGGCCCTCGAAGAGATTCGTGAGCTTTGTAAAACCGATGCCACAGTCTTTTCCAACGACGCCTAGACGTACCGCGAGTTCGTTCTCTCGAAACTTGCCGATTGATGGTGAGTGCGGTGTCGCGACGATGTCTCCACAAGTCAAGCAGCTTACAACAAACTGAAGGTTGATGCCAATTTCTTCTTGCAAGCTCAGTAGTTTTCCGTGGCACTTGAGGCAGAGTAAAATCGCAACAAGAGTCTGCATGGCGGACACATTGAGGAGCCGTTCAGGGGCTTTTCAACGGGAGCGTCTGTCAGCTCCGGGTCGTCCATAATCCCCACGTCGAAATCGTTCAGGCTGAGCTTCCTCTCGAACGTGATCAGCACATCCGATTCGGAGATGAAGCTGTAGGCTCCGATGTCCGCCAAGCACCAGTTGAGCTTGGAGATCGTGACGACGGCGCGGAGACGGCAACGATGGTGCCAGCGGAGACGGGTCCCCGTCTCCGCCGGTTCTTTGTTTCTGCTATGAGAACGCCGGCCAAAGCTACTTCGAGTGCTAACTTTGGAAGCAGGCATTTCTCGGCAGAAAAACTACTGGGAACAAAGAGGGAAAACGAATCTAAACAGCGGCGAACTAGCGACACGATCAGAAGCAAAAGAAGCTGCCGATAGCGCGCGCAGGCGGCCAATCGCGAGCCCTGTTTCGGGTCACAACCAATGGGATTGCTGGTATCATAGTTCCCACGTTTTTTCTGCTTGTATGTACGAGGTTTTCCCGGGACATAGATAGCCTCAAACGTAGCAAGCTTCTATGGGTAGAAACTAGAAGAAACGGCGCTTCCAACGAGGGTAAGGTATCTCGGCTGCGTCGAACGAGCGCGGAGTAGGCCTAATTTGAAAATGCCAAACTTTGCCGTCTGCTCGCTCGGCGGGTCGCCGCGCGCGGCCGCGAGCTTGCTGAAAATAATTTTTTGCGAAATAAACACTGCGCATTTATAAATAAAACTTTCTGAAACTATGCTTCAGAACATAATGAACCCAAATATAATATTTTTTGAAAATGCATTTTTTCGGAAAAAAATGGAATTTCGCGGCCGTATCCCCCCTTAAAGGAGCTGTGCAAATATTTCAGGGTTTTGCTTAAATAATTGTGGAAGTTGATGCCCGACTCTTCTGAAGTGAACTACAAAAATGGAGTTTGCCTGGATACCCTAGTTTTTATTTAAAGAAATGAAAAAAGATCCAAGTTTTTGCCGCCTCTCAACTCGTACATCGTCCTCCGGGTCACGTGCGCAGTGACGTGGATGGGGTAGGCGCAGGGTTCCGGTAAAGTTCTCTCTCTAGAGTGTGGTTCTCCTTTGGGCCACTGCCTTTGGGAGTATCACGTTCGCGGCGAGACGCTCTACCGCAAAGCGGGTTCGTACTCGCGTGGCATGCTGCTCGTTGAGCGCAAACAGACACCAGTCACGTTGGTAACGGTGATAAACTGTTTACAATGAAACAAATAACAACAACACAGCGGCTATAAGCTGGTGAACGCCGTCGGTGTGGAGATCGCCCACGGCCGAACGGTCGTTCACAAAGGTGCAAAGGACGGGGTAAACGCTCACCGGTGCGCCGGACGGTTCCCCGTTGTCGCCGCCGCCGAATTCCAGGAAGAAGACAGCAGCGATACTGCTGTCTGCTGGTTTTAAGATAACGGTGGGGGCGAAGTGGCCAATCAAGGAGCGACACATCGATCTTCTTTGTGCGGGGGTTCGTTACGGAAAATGCCCCAAAGGGGGAGAGGAGGAAGCCACTCACAGTGGTAAGAAGCGCCACCTCTCGCTACGCCAGCGCGGCCGCCACGGTGCGCCAAAACGCTGACGCGACAGAATGTTGAGGGATCACAATCCCCACAAGAGCCATCAGTGAGCAGCGAGAACTGATCCGCTCACGACCGCGTGACCGCATGCTGGCGGGCGCAACGCGAACAATATGGTGAAAGGAGGAAAGTCTCATCCAGGTCTGGCCATAACCGTCCGGCCCTGTCCTCGTCCCCCTCCAGCTTCCGGGTTCTGGCGGCTGTTCGCGGTAGCAGATAGAGCTGACAGTTTTGTGGACCTAGGATAGATGGTGCCACTAAAACTCCGTATAATAAAAGTTTTGTCGATGATACCAGGTTTTTGACGCGTTTATACATATGTTGGAACGACAAGATTTATAGAAAAGTTACCTTTTATTGAGCAGGTATTCGCACAACTTGCTATCTTTCTACAAGGCCCCCCATTGACGTCATGCCGCGTGTTTCTCATGGCCGCCGCTCGCGGCTGCAGGTCGGGAAATATTCTAATTTTTACCTCGCTCTTACGCGGCGGAATTGCAACATTTCGATGAAAGGAGGTGTGTTTTCTGTTATTTGTGACAAGGTGAACAATGTCAAAAGTAGAAGATCCCAATTCTTTTAACGCTAAAATCGTTGCAGAGCATTTTTAATATTCTGAGAAAGAGGCGGAAAGGAAAATTAAACAAATATTTATTTTATGGCGTCTTTACTTATTGTATAGTTTGTCTCGTCTTAGGCCGGAGCACAGTCAAAAGTTTGAACGCATACAACCAGAAGCACGTATACTGAAAGCGCAAGTCGCCGGACATTTGCCGCGCTTGATTGGTCTAGCTGGTGAAGGAACACCTCTAGGAAGATGATGAATGCCATGATGTCGCGTTTCGACTTTGTTTCGACTGGCTCGTAGTGTCGGTTGCACTTTAACTCAAGGTGAAACTGAGATTCCCCGTCAGCCGTAGCTGGCCGGTTGATCGCCGTCATCATCTAACTTTCCAGAGCTAAAAGTCACGAAAAAAACTTTGCAAAATAGTAGAACTGCAAATACTGTTACAAGACAGAACCAGGTTCCGGGACCTCTAACGAAGTCACTTGATTATCATGTCTGCCACGTGGCTCCGTGCTGTGGCCATGGAGTACCGTGGCACTTGCGCCACTCGCGTCAACCTCTCACCGGAGCACGTGCGTCGAGCTTCCCCGTTTTGCACCAGAGTGTTAGGAGCGGTGGCTGAAATGGAGGAGTGCCTGCGTTAAGGCTGTATGCTCGGAAATTACGCCCAATACTATTACAAGTCAACCTTCTTTAATCTTGATTGTAGGTAAACCTCTAATTCTAAAAAGCTGTGCTGTGAAAAAAAAAAAAGCTGTCAATCAAAAGAGTAGCGAACTCTGGTTTCAATGCCGCTAAAAAGATCTTGGTCAGATTTAAAACACGATTGTTGGCTTTCATAATTGTGGGGGGTTGTTTTAGCATTGTATGTTATGTAATTCTTGCATTTGTTAGGTATATAAAACTAGTGGGTATGCTGGTATTTGGAGGCATTTTATAGTAATAATATTGTAACAAATGACAGATGATGATGCAACGAATGAACAGAAGCCACGTGGCGAACTTGTGCCAAAAGCAAAAATACAAAGCGGTAGCGTCGAAGGTCGGCAGTGTAGCACGATCGAGCCCAAGAGCGAGAGTGATTCCGGACCGCCACGCGGAGCACCTTTTGTAGCCACATGGGCTTCTGGAACATTCGGAGTAGAACATTCGGCGCGTAAAACATTCATACCTCGATCGGATTACAAAATTCTCCAACTTGCGAGAACGCTAAATTGAATTGTTAAATAAAAGATGCGTCTGCTCCCACGAATCGAACCTGGGGACTCTGCGAAAAAGCCAAGCATGGTTACTATTCGGCCACGCAAGCACTTGCTCGGCGACGCTCGTGGCAATATTTACAGGATAAATAAACTACCGATTGTAAATAGAATTTACTCTCACTAGAGCTTTATTTCTAGAAAGAAATCTCTTCGTTCCTTTGCCCCATTTATTTTCTTATTACGAGTCGTTATCAAAGAGGAACTCGTTTATCGATGCAATCACTTTATTTTCATGCGATGCGCTAGTAGGGATGTTGGCATCTGCTCCAAACCAATATTTTGCCCGCTACAGAGCCTGCTCCAAAAGGTCAAATGCGCCGCTTCCATCACCGGGAAATCGAGGGGGCATAACTGAACATGCGGTGAACAGGCCGGTCGAAGACACGTCGCGGACACGCCCCGAGCCGCATACTTGTCCGACGCAGGGCTGGAGCAGCGCCTACACGGTGGAGGCGATCATCCTGCAGATTGCGGCCACCCTGGTCAAGGGCAAGGCCCGCATCCAGTTCAGCGGAAACAAGGTGGGCAGCGGCGGCCAGGCGGGAGCGGGAAGGGCAAGTCTTTCCCTCCCTTTCTGCCCTCCCCCACCCCTGCTGCCCCGAGCCGGCGGACCGGCGCCTCCCGTAGTCGCTTGCGGGGGGTGCGAACGGCGGGGAGACGGTCGTGTCATCTCTGGCACGAGGTTCTCTTATTCGACGACGCTTGGTGTTCCGTTGGCTCGGAGTGTGGGCGACGAAAGCGTGCCGGAGGCTGGCCGTCCCAAAGAAGCGCCGTTCTCGTCCCTTCGGTAATTACAGGTAACAAAGTCAGGGTGCTGGACTTTCCCTGTCGTCTATAAGAGGTCAGTGCTGGGCACAGATTGGACACTACACCAACCGGTGCCCTGCGGTGTCTTCCTTCCAGTAGGCAACCTAAAGAAAGTCCGGCACTATGGCTTTGTTGTCTGGGAGGTGTTGGGCAGGCCCCGATGAAGCGGCTTTTTTTTTTGCATCTGCCTTTGCGAGTGGACGAGAGTTCACCCACATTTCGGGGCCTTCTCTTACGTCTTCCCATGGCATCGTTGCGTCAAAACCGGTCCGAAAATCCACGAGCGCAGAAACCGCAATAAGAATGAAGGTCGATCGAACTGCATCGAATGAGCGTTCACCTGATGGAGCGTCGTTCGTTTCAGCATTACTTGCCTTTTAATGCATTGCAAGTGCGTTGGAGGGCATCCGGCTTAGCAGACGAATCGGGTTGCATTGCACTTCCGATCTGGTGGCTCCCATCCCTCGCGTAAACTTGAAACAACTGGGCGACCGAATAGGCTGCGCGAGTCTCACTTTCGTCGTCGAAAACGGTGCGCATCCGGCATGCCACAGCTAAGGAATGGGATTAAACTTGGGCCGCGAATCCTTGGACCTTGAGAGAGCGAGAATTAAAAATGAAACGAAACGTGCAACCGAAATTCTGTTTAAACGACTCCCAGTTCGCAACGAGCCTAAAGTCGTGTTGAAGGTCCTGCGATCGATTTGGGTAGTGAATGCCTCTCGAGGGTACCGGCGTTGACGGAACCCTGTACCACATTCTTGCCGACTCGTCCAAATGCGTCTAGCAACCTTTGGTGGCATTTGCACGGGCCTGCGCAGCAGAATTGACAGTTAGACAGGATGAATGGATGGATGCTTACGGCCCAATTAATTTAATTACGCGGTTACTCACAGCACGTAGCCAGAATATGAGCATTTAGCATTGGCATGATATACAAAACATTAAAGCTAAAAGCCCATTCACTCGGGAGCGTCTGCTTTCGATTTCTTACTTTGTGCTACGAGTCACTGAAATGTCCTTGCCTCGAATATCTTGTCGTCAAACGCAACAAAAGCAAGCGATGCCGTGCGTACTTTCCTCGAGCCCTTTTAATAATGAAATAAATTGTGATCCCTGTGACACACTGGTGGCTGGCAGCAGGGCGACGTGCGTGTGTGTCCTTTCTCCCAGGGCCAGTACAGCCTGGCCAGAGCCCAGCAGTCCTTCAAGTCTCTGGTACAGATCCACGAGAAAAGCGGTGAGCCTCTCCTTCTCGCACCCTGGCGTCAGAATCTGGGGAGGGATGTCCTGGAATGCTAGCCGAAGGATGCCCCTACGGTCTATGTCGAACGACTAGTTGCTTCTAGAGCTGTGCCAGCACCACCCGGAATAACCAAAGCCGTGCACTGGAATTTCTACGTAATCGCGGCGAGATCTAGTTAAGACACGGATTGGAAGTGAGTGTCAGGTCCACGTTCAGCCGAGCGTCGTGTCCAGTCGACACGTCGGAAGGAAGCTTGGTCTCGAGTCCAGTCGCCGAGTTGGCGCCAGCGACTGTGATGACGTTACGTGGAGGAAGAGGAGGTTGTTCGCAGGCCTCAATCATTCTAGGTGGTGTTGGGTGGGCTGTGCTAGTCCTTTTACGGTTCTTTCAGGAAATACGGGCCATAGCGAGACAAAAATGAATTGTAGCGCTTTAAAACATTTCTTCCGGGGCTCCAGAAGTTTCTTGGTGAACCTTACGGCTCAATTTTCGTGGCAGGCAGTCGCCGGTGCCCTAAAGCGCGATCCAAACCAACGCTTCTTTTTGCGCCTGTAGGTCGTGCGGCTGCGGATGTGACGCATTTCGTGGCGTTTTTGCTGTTTCGGGGCGCGCTTTCTGAGTCAGAACCGTGCGCTTTGGTTTGGACGGGCGAAACTTCGGGCGAGCGCGCACGCAGGCACGAGCGCACAAGCAAGGTGCAACTGCGACAGACTGGCCGGCCAGAAGGCGAGAGAAAGAGAGAGAGAGAGATCGCGTTGTCATGTTGGAAGAGAATAAAAGGGGGGGGGGGGGGGGGAGGAGAGGGCAGCCAGACGGCGAGAAACGCGGAGCCGGAACTAGCTTGCCCTCAACCGATTGGCCGGGACACAGGAGCGTCCTACTACGTCACCGCGCGTTTTTGTGCGCGTTGAGAAGAAGTTGAAATCATCCAACTTTCTTGTGCGCGCCCGGAAGGAGCGAAGAAGCGGCGCGACGTCACGAAAATACGTCACATCCGCAGCCGCACGACCTACAGGCGCAAAAAGAAGCGTTGGTTTGGATCGCGCTTAAAGCGACGACGACGACTGGCTGCTTTGTAGAGCTATGGCAGTGAAACGTCTCGTACTGTGTTAGGATGTTTGCTGCGTTTGTAGTGGAACTCTTGATGTGAGGACCGGGACGAAAAAAGACAGACACCTTGCGTTCGCTCATCTCGGTTCTTGCGTATTTATCGCGTTTTTAAACATTCGAAGATTATTTATTTTTTAAGTCACAATTTTATGGGCATAAAGTTCCATATCTGTATGCCTTCATTCTATAAAATATTTCTCCTAATTTACTTTTCGAGACACAATGATATGCAGTGGCATCTCTACCTGGCACTCTGAGGTCACTTTATTGATCGTCCTTACTCGGCCTTTGTTTATTCGGAACTGTCTCACCCTCATTTCCACAGTATTTGGATTATAAGTTCATTATAGCGCCTACAACACTATATCTCTATTATCAAGTTCTTTTATCGGCATATTCTTGTTTGTGTACTGTTTGGAGTAATTGACCGTTCACTATTCACTCATCCTGATTTCAACAATAATAGAGTATGTATTTATAACTATTGCTGGGGAAGTATGTTTCTTTCTTGGTCGTCTTGCATTTCTGTTGTTTTTCGATTTGTGTGCGGTTATTTTTTTTATGTACAATTGCCGAACTGGTCAGGCGGAAATGTCTTTTCCTTCTTCCGCCCCACCGGCCTTAACCTGCAAAACAAAAAAAAAAAAAAAAAAAAAAAATACAAAGACAACTTAGCAATTTCTCGATCTCAGTGTTCGCCACGAAGCATAAGGTTAAACAACTTCGATTCGTCATTCTGTAACAACAAAGAAGCATACCAATACAGAAGTTGCCTAAACCAAAAATGCCATAAGAAGTGACATTACAAAATGTGTAAATGTAATGCGCTTGCTCAAATCCTTAGGTGTCATCATTTCCAGCACATACTTTCTTAACAGAAACTTTGGTTTCTGTTAATGCTTTAAGAATTGCCACGAGTCCTCCCGTAATCTTTTTCTAGTTCTGTGGTTCTTCTTCACTGTGCTACTTTATATTGTGGTGTATTGTCTCGCGATATGAACATTAATGGTTGTAGAATTGTCCGCAGTCTCGCACTTTATATTGTCCCACGCTGCTTGGGCCTGCAGTATTGTAAATAAATAAATAATTAAAACAAAATGAAACATTGTTTTCATCGCTGGCTCATACGTGCCATTGCTCGTAAAAAGAAAATGACAGTCGAGGAGAGGTGGTGAGCAAACCGAAACTGCAACCACACTCAAAGGGTTAGGGGTAGCCGAAATTGAACCGCATGGCAATTTCGCCCGGTCAGGATCGGCAAAGCCGGTCACGATTGCCCTCTGGGATTCCCCGCAGGTTGGTTCACGCCTCCCAAGGAGGACGGATGAGGGCGGACGCCCGTTGCCCGCTGTACAGAAGAAGAGGCGCCCCGGGCGGTCTCTCAGGGGAGGGCACCGGCGGCCGAGCGGACGGACGAACGCGTCGGCGCCCCGCGTCTGTCTGCGTTCATCGACATCCCACGTTTCTCTTGCGTTACTTCCGTTTAGGGCACTCTTATTGTTTTTGTAGAAATGCGAGTTCCTGTTTTGTATCCACCGAGACGCCCCCACCCTTGCCCCTCAAGAGACCGCCTGGCGACCGCTCGGCGACCCTCCGGATCCCTCGACGGACGTTTCCCTTTGTTTCCTGCATTATCTTGCTTTGTTTCTAAGTGTGCGAATAAACCGAGAAGTGGGAGTGACACCTTGCGGGCCTCCGTGCGTCTCCTTGCTGTGTCGACAGGACCCACCCACTACACAGGCTACACAGGCTGCGCTCCGGAGCAACGACGCTTCGGCCATCTTGGAGCTTGAGATCGCTGCCGCCAGTTGTCCGAAGCTTGATCTGGCATTGCAGGGAACGGTTCTCCGTCCCCCGGAAATGTTGGAACGGCCCGTGACAGAGCAAAGCAATGTTGCCTCAGCGTTTTGACACCGCATCGGAAGCTCAAGGAGTTGCATTGCCGCATCGCGACGATTGTTATTTGCACCCGCTATCCAATCTGCAGCAAGATCGGGGAACGGATTGCCGATTCTCTAAGCATGGCTTATTCAATGACTGTCGTGTTCGTCAGTGGGGAGGGCACATCAGCACGCCTTTCGGCACCTCTCTCTCCCATCGTGCCCGCCGTTTCATATACTTTTTATTTAATAGCTCTGCCACAGTGTAACTGCTTCGCTCTCTTTAAAGGGCAAAGGATGGGGGTGGGTGGGGGATGCATTGCCAAATGTAACACTCCACCAGGGGTGGTTTATAACACCGCCGTCGTTCTGTCTAATGCACACGAGTGGCCTGTATTGCACCACTAAAGTACTTGGTTGCGGAACGGGCACCCCCATTCCATTCCGGGGAATTAATGTTTCCGATAATAGACCGATCTCGCCAACTGTTCAGCGCATGCGTGAAGCCGCCGTAACTTTAGTCATAGCCTTTTCTGTACTGACAAAACCTGGCAGATCGCCACGAAACGTGGCCGCCGAAATTTAAAAGGTAGAGCGCATACATCTGATGAGAGGAGAGCCACTTGACGGGCACCCCGTTGCGGCGTGACACTAACTTCTGAGCGACGGAATGTCCCACTGATCTCCACTATATAGGGGGCTGGATGGCGCATTGAGCAGACAGGTATGAAGCTAAGTGGCTTGTCATGGAAGTAAGCGCCTGACAGGCTTCTCAACTCTACCGAGTACTGGGCCGGACAGCCCTTAGGGTGCTGGATTTTTTCTTATCCCAAGAGAGCCTGCTTGTTGCGGAGTAACAGCGCACGCGGAGAACGAGAAGTCTGGAAAGCCATTGCATATGAAAATTTTGAGATTCTAGTTGATCAAGTGTGTGTCTCACTTTCAAATGCCTTATTCTCAGGATTTAATTCAGAACGGGGATATTAAAACCCAATCAAAGACGGAAAGGCATGGACCAAAATATCGACTGAATGCCCCAGATCCTCGCGCTCCAAATCTGCGACCGGGCACTATGGCTCCGTCGTCGAACTGCCAGGTTCGACGGCTATGCTTTAGTTCGCAAAAGGCATCCGGCAGTGCCCGAGACGGCCTCTTCCTTCTCGTGCTCTTCACGCGCGAGTTCCAGCGGTGTTCGGGCAAGTGCAGAAAGACTAAAGTTCCTCAAACTGGCTGGCAACGTTGCTGGCTGGTGAGATCGATCTATTCCTTCCTTTCAACTTCTTAAAAAGAAAAAAAAAAAAAAGTTTTTTTTAACAGGTTGGTTGGAACACGCATGTCAAAACAAATTTTACGCGAAAAAAAATTTGGGCAATATTGACGGCGAGAGATTTATTTGAAATTCTGCGGGCGAAAGTCCACGACGGGAAGGGTCATTCCGGAATGACCACCTCTGTCGTGAAGGCGAAGCTGATTCACCTCTCCCCCACGGGCCCAAACTGCCGAGAGAGAAAACAAGTGGAAAGGAGGTGACTGCCGACTAAATCGCGTCTCTCTGAAAAAAGAAAAACTTTTTACACGCGTGCACCACGCGTGTCAATTAGACTTTAAAAAAAAATTATTTTAAGGGGTTCTTTAAAGGGTAACTGCAAAGAAAAAAAGTATTTTTAAACAGCCTAATTGGGACAAGCATGTCACAAAACAAACTTTCTGCCAAAAGCGAAATTTTTTACATCAATAATTATTGCGCGAGACTCATTTTAGTTTGCGGCTATTTCGGCCGTTTTAAATCGCGCGCCACAAAGTTGGTATTATACGTCATGGAGTAACTGCTATACGTCACGAAATGACGTATAGTAGCCACTCCGCGCGCGTGGAAAGAGCGGGAGTTTCAAATGTGGGAAAGTTGTGACCCCGACAAAATTATGTCCTGCGGCGTAAATATTTCTAGAAAAAATTTGTTTTTTCGCGGAAGATTTGTTTTGTGACATGCTTGTCCTAAATAGACTGTTTAAAAAAACACATTCTTTGCAGTTACCCTCTAAGAATGGAGCCACAGCTCATTCCCACTCCTGGAATATTCCGATTTCAGATAAGATCGACCAAAAGGTGGCTGGTCGACATTTTTAAATCAACTGATGTTTTTATATGCTATTGTCTAGTGTCTAGTATAAACAAATCCACACTTAGTTTTGACCAGAAAAAAAAATATTGGAGACGGGAAAAATCGTAGGTGGACAGTTGCAATAACGTGCACTGATGGAGGGGGCACGTTTGAAAGTAAATAACTAAAACCATAACAGGAGAATTCTAATACTTTTTCGAAACAAACTATGGGTACAGCTTGCTTGTAATATAATGCAATAATATTTATTTAAAATTTATTTATTTTTCTAAAAATTGCCAAACATGCCTGCTCGAACGACAAATGGCAAAAATTGCAGGTCTGTATCTCATGAAATAATTTAATCATCATTATATAATTCGCAGATAGTATTCTACTAATATATGGATATTATTTAAAAAATAAATCAGGTATCTGATTGATACAATAGTTAGGATATATTTAGACAAACATAGAAAAAAAAATCAAACAGAAAAATTTCGATGCGAATAAAAAAAACCACCACCTTCGATTTTTTAAAAATACCCTGTTATTTTCTATTTCGGCATTCAATTCTATTAAAAACTTGTTGAATCATTTTATTGAGACAGTTGTTGTTGAAAACTTTCACTGGACATAACAGGAAAGATTAGGAAAGGAAGGGGGAGTTAAAGAGAGAGTGGGTGTATGCCCTCATTCCAGAGCTCCAATTGCGGCTTGGGCATGCAGCGCACGGGTCACCAGCAGCTTTTGCACGTCGATGACTTCACTCTGCAGCCCCGCTTCCCACTCTTGAGCAGAAACCCCCCTAAGTAGGGTCCTTTTTCAAAGCCTACATTTAGCAGTGTCCTATACAAGAAGTCACTCTGAGTTCCAGTTTCATGAAACTTACACAAATCTTTTTTTATATTTTTATTCAGATGAGGTCATTGATAACTAGAGCAATCGGTCACACAGTAAAAGGGAGGAGAAACAATATACAGCATATTACATAAGCGTACAAAGTGGTATCATTGTAGAGACTAATGATTCGAGAAAAGATGTTGCAGTGTGAAGTTTTACCTTCCGGTATATTTTACATTTCAAATAAAAGAAATAACTTTACTTCCACATAGAGAAATTAAGATACGATACTAAAATTGTTTAGGTTGGCTATGTATTTCCGATTACAAACAATTTCAGGTGAGGGATGCTATTGTGCCTGACTGGAGCATCTTCGATGCTCTCGGTGTATGAATGAATCGTGGCAAGCTGATATATTTTATCCTGCTCGAGGATAACATTTTGTGATTTTCTTATTGTGATCAGATAAAACTTATTAGCAACCACAAACTAAAACAGTAGGTTAAATACCCCGTAAAGAAAAGTGTGATAAATAAGATGTCACCGTATTCAAAATGAGCAGTCCTTGGGAAATAAAATTCGGCACTTTACGCTAAGGTTTTCCCCGCTGTACCCATTTAATAAAGTTGCTTCCAAGCAGATCCGACTGTCCGTGCTACATAAACGTCACAGGTCCCTTCTGTTGATGACTTGCTGAGCCGCCACGCGTGCCAGGGAAAGCGCGTCCCGTCAGTCGCTCTTCCTTTTTTTTTTTTTTTTGTTCACGATACCGAGCAACCTCATTTTCGTCCAGATACACAAGATGCACGCGTTTCAGTTTCTTTGATAGAACGCTCGCCATTGTCCTGGCCGTCTGAATTGCGCTTATTAAACGTTCTCTCGGGTTGTTCAGCGGGGCCTGGTGCTTCACGAGTCCGCCAACTCCGTCACATGCATTTTTCCCATGTCCAGATGCAGAAAATAATTACTGGGCATGTGGGCAATCGTCATTTGCAAACTGGTGAAGCTGGTAGCGATTCTTGAAATGACTGGCGGCCCCGTTACTTACGTACGTCAAGTACGAGTATACCGCAACGTTGTCTTCAACCCACTCCTTCACTTTTTCTAGAGCCAAGCAAGCGTGAGCGGCGTCGTGACAGAGGTCCTCACTGATGATGGCAAAGCTGTTTATAGGTTTTCTTGTCGTCACTACACATGTAAATGTGGAAACTTGTCTTTTTTTTTTTTCAGTGGTATGCTTGCACTTCGTCAGGAAGCACGATGGTCCAGTTTTGAGCAAAGTCAAAATGAAAGACAATGCTCCCGCGTTGCATGTACTGTTTTTCATCGTAGATCGCTTTACCTTGCGTTTGCCGGATATGGTTGTGAAATACCCAACTTCCAACCGTCACTTGGATGACTTTTAGGACAGTCTCAAGTTCCAATGTTTTTTTCTTCACAAGGTCGCAAGGTTGCAAGCACAATCGCTTCATCCTCCGGAATATCAAGTTCCTGGAGTGTAAGAGACTTGCCTTTTAGACAGTGATCACAGTCTCTTTGAAGGCACAGTCCTGTTGCTGGCTCGCACAGAAATGCCGAGTTCATTTCACCAGTGTTGAATTTTGAGCCTGTAACGTTTTCTAGAGCGGCAATACAAAGGTAATAATTGGCGCTGCGCACACAAAACGCACACTTCCTGGTGTGGAATACACTGGACCCATCTAGGGCGCAACGAATAGAATTTCGTTAGCACAACGCCGGAATCGATGCTTGTTTTTGTATATACGGAAGGCCTCTCGGATTGTGCGTCTTATGAAGCGCTTTGGCACGAACGTTTTCTCTCCGTCGAGCATGACAGAGACGACTTCCTTCTGGTTGGG